CAGGCAAAGAGCATCTCGTGCGTAAAACGAATCAGTCCGATAATTATATAGATAGCGCGCTGGGCGTTGCTTACAGTATTGTAATGTAATGGTACCTACTATATGCCATACTTAATTTATTTCTCTGAGTGTACTGTGAGAAGTGATTGTCGATATACATATTTCCAAGCATAATCTTTTGATTTTAACAGGCATGTATGTCGTTCTATTTTTAGATTATGACTAGTGAATGAACGCGGAAACAATTTTTATATTTCAATTTCCATTGTATTATTAGAATCCTCATTGAATTTGGATATTCATTGATTATTTTATTAATGAAGTGAGTTAAAGTGAAACTTTTACTTCCGAGCAAAACGAATCATGGGAAAAAAGATGATCCGTTTTGCCCAACTTGAAAAATTCGGCTTCTTTTATTATTGTATGTATATTTCAAGGATTAATTTTGTTTACAGAATGATTTACACGTATAAACGAAAAACAGTTCATGCTAGTTGGTTGGAGGATACCGTTCACCACTTGGCACGACATATTTTGATAGATAGTGTTCGTAAAAAAAAGGGTAATTTAAAATAGTTTTCAACGAAGAGCAAGACGAAGAACTTTATAAATACATAAAGAAATGGATTTGTTATTTTTCCGATGTGACCTGAATTAAATTTCAAAAACTTGCATATAATTATACGGAGGCATGCAAAGTTAAGCGTCCATTCAAAAATGAAATTGCTGATGATGATTGGTGTATTAGTTTTAAAAAACGGAACTCTGAAATTACTCTCTGCAATCCAAAATCTCTTGCTCTAGCTAGGGGTTTTAATTGATCACAAGTTGAAAATTTTTAATTTTTACTATGGGTGATAATTAAAGAAAAATCTATCGATGGTACAATGATTTATAACAAGAATAAAAGAGGAAACCGTTCAACTAGTAATAAAACACCTGAAATGTTAACAGTAAAGAGAATAAAGCAAGTAGATTTTACCACCACATCATCCTTGCACGAAAGAGAATGCAAAATCGTTTATTAGATGATGTTCCTGCTGGCTCTAGAGGTTACGTCAGTGGTAGCGGTTGGGTGAACGGACCAATCTTTTTTTGAATAGCTTAAGTTTTTTGCTATAAATGTTCGTCTAAACGAAAATCATATAACTTTATTATCCTTTGCGCTACATACAAGAAATAAGATCAACCATTAGATGTTTCCGCGTAGGGACCTATCAAAAAGTTCTTTGAAGAAGAAGTATAGATAAATTTCAAAAAACCATCTTGGAATGACGATCATCTAGAATGATATGTTCAAACTATTTAATGGAGCTTATGTGCGAGGAGTAACCGTTCAAGGTACTATAAAAGGTTTTCTTAAGCCAAGAATTTGGTAATATGATACTAATGTCTTCAATGATGAATAGTATGCTCTTACTAATCTCACGAATCGTACTTTAGATTAAAAAGAAAAATCAACAGATTTTGTTGTAAATAAATTAGATTCTCATGTTGACTTGCCTGTTAATATTCATTTTGAAATATTAGTTTCATCTAAGATCAGACCAATACCATCAAAACAGCGAAAGCAAATAAAAAATAAGTATAAAAGTGAAGTTGAATTTGATGCTCTGAAAAAGAGAGTTAAAAGAGATAAAAAAGTGTTATTGTTCATTTTGCAACAAGAAATACAAGGATGGATCCCCCAAAAGTAGATCCAATTTTATCAATGTTCTAATTGAGTACACGAAGACGGCGTCGAACATTTCTATTGTGATAATTGTAATTCTTATATATAAGTTTTTTTAGTTAATATTAATTATATATTGTTCATGTTAGCTTATGTAATTATAGAGCTTACAAAAGCTGTTAGAAATGATTTATTTATTGTAATTCATTTTGCCCGACCATATTTTAGTCCGAGCAAAAAGGATCACGTTTCTGTACATTTATTTAAATAACTGTTATTGTTTTCTTTTCCAAGTTAACTATTGTGTTATGTAATACAAATGCCATAATATATAAATAAATTATGACATATTGAAATATGTTAAAATTAGGTTGCTTTTATATCAATTGTCCCTCACCAATCCGTTTTGCCCAGAATTCCCCTATCAAAATATTTTCGGTGCATCATTGTTATGTTAACAGTAAATTATAACTACAATTTTTTTTTACAATTTTTCGCGAATTCGTTCACAGTTGATCAAATTTATACACTTGTTAAATTTCTGATATTGTAGTAATATTTTTATTATAGGTGTAATAAGCAATAGTTGTAATTTTTACAATTATATAAAAATATCATAAATATCATGATAAGGAAGCCAGGAGTAGTTTTAATGTGTTGCATAACACGAATATTTTATTGTAAAACATATTGTGATGTTTTACGCGAGATAAAATTGAATAATTTACTTTCCACTGAGAGGATTTTAGTAAATTTTTATTTCGTTGAAATAAAATAGCTGATAATTAAAAAAAGCGGTTAATTAATAGAAGAAAAATAAAAAAAGTTACTCTTTAACAAACCAAGCGTATGCTAACAAACCAGATTAGATCAGATCAATCAGCAGATCATGTGCCATCAAATAAAATTTGAGAAAACATAATAAAAATAAACGTGTAAAAGTAATATCAAAGCTCAGCAAATCATAAAAATGAGCTGCAACGCGTGAAATCGAAACGAGCGAAATTTGCGCACAATAGCGTATAAACCATGTGCACACATACGCCCACCATCAACATGAACTGCCAAATGCCTGTTGCATGTGTAACTAAGTATACTTGAAGGATTCCGCGTGGAAATATTATTAGTTATTTTCCAACGTAGATATAGGGCTTTCAAATATCGATTCAAAATATTTCAAATTTGTTCTTAATTAATTATCTTTTAAAATAATTTTCAAATTATCATTATTTCTTAAATGTGATTACTTTCATTTTTATTATTTTAGAATAAAAGCTTACCAACTACTAAAACCAAATACTTACCGTCAATGATTTTTAAACAAATAATACAATCCTCCATATACGTTAAACGTGTGGTCCTACATTTCTATATTATAATGATTGAAGAGAGAAGAAAAGAGTAATGGTGTTCGCAACCACAGCGAAAATGACAAGTGCAAAGCGCAAGTGCGCGCATATACAATAAATAACACACACGCACGCACACAGACTCACACATACACATGTACGCAAATAGTGATCTCATGATAACTTAACATAGACGAATGGTAAGAGCTCAGCGTTAATATTGTTTGACCTATATTTTTAATAATTCCGTCTGATTTATTTATATTATTGTCCGGACATACGAAATATAATTGTATTTGTATTTAGAATACATTTTTTGTGCAAGCGAGATGTGCTAAATGCGTGTGAGAGAAGGGTGTGTATTATCGATTGTTGTAATTATATGTGGCAACCATGTGAGATTGGCTCGACGTTGATGCTGACTTTTCGGTTAATTTGTATCGCTCTATCCCTATACGTCGATTTGTAATTACGCTTGAACAATGGCGTTGATTACTGCCGCTTTCATATTACAAATTTATTACACTACTGCGCTGCTATCAATGTCAATTGTTTTAATTGCAGAACGTCGACTTGAAAAGTCAATTTCAATGTTGAGTTTTGAAAAAAAAATGCGAGTACGTATGTGATGTTAAGACCGAATTGTAACTTACTGTCGGCATGCATGTATATAAGCTTAGTTATGACAATTAAATTAATTTATTGATTAAACCCGTCGTTTCTTTGTTATTTAATCCTTCCTGAAAGTTTTAAAAACGTAACTAATTGAAATCCAAAATTGAAATAATATTAATATTCTATGCTAATTAGCGGATTTTCAAATGAACACTTACCCGTTTGCAATACTAATAAATACATATTGAATGAATAAATATACGTTATGATAATTGATTATGAGAACAATAAATTTTAGTTTGCAAAATCACATTTATAATTTAGAATTATATCCATGAATATCTAACTTAATCAATGAAAAAATATTCTCTTATAATCCATATCAAAATATAAGATTACTTAAATGCATTCATTGAACAATAAAATTCCTATTCTATCAATAACTCAAGAAAGATAAAAAATGATAGTTCTAAATTAGATGGCGGTGGGTCTCTGACTAAAAGTACTGAAACGTCGATAAGCCCATACTCAGGCATGAATATGAATCCACCTATTATTAATTAAATTAAGTATTGTGACCATATCTAATCAAAAATTAATTACACTTTTAATATAAACTGCTCAGATATTATTTCGCGACCTACGAAATTTAAAATCCAAATTATTTTCGACGATTGAGCATCGATTGATCGATAATTGATAGCATCAAATGAGCTTTTTCTGGCAAGTTGTGAAGTGGTGTGGGCACAACTTGCCAAAATAAATCCTCAGCTTAATTTCGGTTCATATGATCGATGTTCCATTCTCGAAAATAAATGGAATTTTAAACTTCGCGGGTCGCGAACAATTGTCCAGGCAGAGTGTATATACACACGCATGCACATACACACACACACACACACACTGTAAAAAAATACATTTGTATAATAAGTATCTAATAGTAAAATTGGAACTGATGTCTAACTCTGAGTGTAGTACTTTTACTAGTCTCATACTAGTAAAATTATAAATTCTAGTAAATTTACAATTCATCTTGTAAAATTACTTCTCTGAGACTAGTAATTTAACGATAACCGAAATCTTAGCTTTTTTTATAAAAATACTAGCTAATAACTATAAAACTTACTAGCTGCTAGCGATTTCACTGCTCTCAGAATAGGTCCGTTTCGTGTCCAATATTCTCATACTAGTGATTTTACAAAAGTATTATTTTACAGTATTGCCCGGACATTAATTCGCAACCCGCGAAGTTCAAATTCCAATTATTCTCAACGATGGAGCATCGATGACATCAAATGGATTTTTTCTGGCTAATTATAAAATTGCGTGGGGATAAGTTGCCAAAATCGCTCTTAACCTAACGTTGATTAATGTCACAAATGCTCCATCTAATCGTCAAAAATTTATCCACATAAACTTACGAGTCATAACCACTTGTGACATCATTCTTGATTTGGATTATTTCTTCACATGAATAAGTACAAGTACGTGTATAAAAAAATATATACACATCAGGCATCATAATCGTGAAACCTTGTGATTTCGGAGCATACTACTTATTTTAGCTTCTAATATAAAACGTATTTAGTCCATAATGAAACTTAGTGCTCCATAATTCACTTTTCCTCTCGAGAACATGTGATGAGCTAACAAAATAGTGCGTCAACGCAAGCGTTTGCGCTTTGACAGCACTGCTCTCATCTAACTACGAAAGAAAGAAACAAAAAGAAAGACGTTTTAGATCTAAACGGCGTGTATGAATCAACAGCGTGGTTGAATTTTTAGTCACACGAAAGAGCACATAAGAAATATAACATTTAATAAGAAGGTACGTCGATTTCAATTAACTGAAGTTTTTTTCTCGACAAGATTCATTTATATCAGCATTGATTTTACCAGTTTAATCGAGTTAGCAGTTTTTGAAGCATAACGAAGATGACTCTTGTTTACATTGATGGCAATGATCCATGGTAGTGTACTCACAATGAGATTATTTACTTTTTGCTTTGATTGTGGATAGTATTTTTTTGCTTTCACATATAGGCTCAACGAATATGAGGCCTGCGATAACTTGTTCAGGGAGATTATGGAGCAGCTGACTCTGAGGAATAAAGAATCAAGAGTGTCTCAGACTTATGCCAGTCTCTCTGCACAAATTCGTATAAGATTAAACCAGTATAGTAGTCAAATAAGAAAACTAAAAGGAAAAGTTAATGAAGCTTTTAGACAGCGAATTATGTATCCTTAAAATTGTATGTTTTTAAAGATTTTAATTGTAAAACTAGATGTGATCTGTGATGTTATTCACAGCTTTAAAATTCAATATTAGGTTGAAAAAGAATACATATGACATAAGAAGTAAAATGAGTCATGATAATTTACATTCTTCAATGTCAATTATTTATCAAGTTTCATCAAATGAATTTCATAGATTGATTTATATTATTACAATATTCTGAAATTGCAATATTCTTATATTCATGAAAGACAGAAATTAATTACAACCATTTCCTTGATTATTGATTTATTGATAAACCATTACATTTAATTAATAAAATTAATTAAAAAATTAATATATTCACATACTTTCCTTACATCCAAATCCTTAATAGTACAACAGAAGAAGCAGAAAGGAGAAATAGACAAATAGAACAACTTATGAGCCGAGAAATTCAAATTCAAAAACTTATGGATTCAAAAATGAACGAATTAGCACAGTCAAGATCAAGATTATTCGGCAATCCATCAACTTCTGCCTTTGCAGATGGTGGAACCACCAATTGGGGTATTGACGACAATGAGGAACCTCTTATTGACATTGGTGATCGACCTAGTGTTTCTGACTTGAAAGCTCAAAAACAGCATTTGCTTCAGCGTAAGTTAGAATTATATTTTTTATATTTGCTAGCAAAGTTTTAATGTGTATTAATGTAATTTCAGAGCAAGAAGAAGGCTTGGAGCAACTTTCTAAAATAATTTCGAGGCAAAAGCAGATTGCACAAACTATACATACAGAAGTGGATTATCATAATGGTAAAATACTTCCTCTATGATTTCTTAAAAAATTATATATTTATATTGACATATTTATTAACTTTTTACCTAATGATGATTTGCTTTTTGTATTTTAGAAATAATTGATGATCTAGCGGACCATATGGATAGAACGGATCAACGTCTGATTGAGGGAAGTCGCGAAGTCCGAACAGTTAGTCGGAAAGACAGAGTATGGCCTTACTGGCTCATCATTATTATACTCTTTATCATTATAATTGCTTGTGCGTTAGCTTGAAAATAACGTACTTGTATTAGGATTATTGACAGATTGACAGATTTTTATTATATGTAATAATTATTCGTACTGCATTTCACCCTTCACTAATACCTTTATCTGTGATGAAATTTTGTAAATACAGAATCTTATAGTATTTTCATATTTTTCTCATGTTCTGCGAAGGCTCGCAAAAACGTTGCAATAATTGGTGTAATCATTGTCATAAAATTATTAATTATTAATTGTAAAGCGTACTAAACTGTTATCGATTTTGTTCATCGTCATGGTGGAAACAAAAGCTGGAAGTTTTGTAAAAATTTATCATTAAAAACATTTAAAATCATTAATCTCGAAATTATTTGCTTGAAGTAGATTTTATGAATTTGTAAATAAATTTTGTAAGTTTTTAAATGAAAGAAACAAATTTATCTTAACGTCTAATGAAGTTTATAATAAATAGGTATATAATTTTCGTGATTATTAAAGTAAAAAATTGCTTCTAATGTGATGGAAATGATTGTTACTCAAGAAATTTTGGTAAACCAATGAAAAAATACAATAATTACAGTATCGATACGTTTTATATTTACAATGTGTATTCTTACATAAATTAAATTGGTGATTTAACATGAAGCATACAACAGTATCATTGTCAAAGCTTCTAGTCGCAAAAAAATCTCAATCCTTTACAACAGATTTTCTCGTGTAAGACAATCAATATTATCATACAGTTTTACTCGTACTAAAAAATTAACTTCCGTCCGTCGAATCCCAATAAAATGTCCATACCATCAACAACAAAAAATACTACTCTCTGTCTATCACAATTTCCGATTATTTAGGTTCAACGAATTCCCTTCATGATAATTTAGTTAAGGTTGAGGCTTTTCAGAAGAGCTTTTAAGCTTGGATCTCTGCCACGAAATCGTCTGAAAACTTCGCTCGAATGTACGCTACCACCCAACGATAAAAATGTTTCTTTATAACGCTTGGCAATTTTCCGTTGATGTTCTTCATCGCCAACTGGTGCTTCTTGAAAAGCACTGTATACGTCCGCGGCAAGCATTCGCGACCACAGTTCACTAAAATTGAAATTTTAGATATTAGTTATGTACTTTGGTTAATTTCAATTTATAATTTAGGACACAAACCTGTAATACGCAGCACCCATATTGTCAACAAATATCCCATCCCATGAACATACATGAGAATCTTTTTTATCTTCGGGGAAAACAAAATGTCTCTTCCAACACCTCTTCATGATCCATTCCCATGGCCGCATTCTGTGATTTTATTTCGAATATCAGTAATACTTATAAAATATATCAAAAACTACTTATTTCAAAATCAACTCACATCACATGCAAATCAAGATCGAATTTAGAAAGGTACAATTCCTTGCACAAATTATATCCAGACATATGAGTACGCGATTGACGTAAATTTTGTATAGTGTCATCATCGAGGGATTCACCCGTTTCACGGTGACAACTAATTTGTTTTAACACGTCAGGTTCATAAGCCCAATGAGCCAATACATTTTTACTTGTGCCATATGCGTCCCATTCGACATTCGAAAGTCCCGCAGTTTCTGACGATTTTGTCGTTGTCAAAATCTGCTGCAGCATATGACCAAACTGCAATAAATTACAAAATAATAAATCATGGTTCTTAATTATAAAGTAAAAAATAATCTTCTTACATTTCCAAACAATGCCTGCACAGCGTTGAAAGTGAGCATCGACGGTTTGCCATCCTTAGGCGGTTGGAAATTGAACACAATCGACGTGAGAGGTATATTACCACTGATTTCACTTTTATTTCTGATAAGTAGCACCCAACCTGAATGCCTATTGACTGAAAGCTTTTCTTCGCCACGTGCGTATGGATCAAAATAAAAACTACCTCTAGGCTCAGTAGAGGATATGTCGAGATCGTAAACGTCAAAAAAACGTACATCCTTATGCCACACATCCACCTTTTGCCGCTCAACTATCTCCACATTAAATAAATTCTTTAGTAAGTTAAACAAACCTTCCATAACTTTTGGTAAAGGAAAGTATTCTTTTAAGATTTCGTCGTCGTAGCTGAAAATTTGTATTTAAATTAAATTTATATTTATTTTGAAAAATATACTAAATACAAGGATATGGTCTTACTTGTATAACGATCGTTTTTGCTTTCTGATCCAGTATGGTACGTCCCATTGTTCCATGTGGCCGTCGAAACCACGTTCTTTGGCAAAGGCTGTGAGCTCGTTGATTTCTTCTTCTTGTCGTGGAAACGCTGTTTAATAATCAGTTTATTAATTTTATTCATTCATGTACTTTCCTGTGACATAAGTTATTAAACGTACCTGATTGTAAGAGAGTATCCAGAAATTCGTAAACTGTTTCCAAGCTTCCAGCCATTTTAGTTGACATACTCATGTCAGCAAAACTTTTGAACCCCAAGTATTTTGCCATTTCATGTCTGTCATTAGTTATTCCACTTACAAGGGAACTAGTTTCCAACATATGATCTCCATAACCTGAGCACCTTAAAACTTTTGCCCTCCAGAGATTCCACCTTGATGCAGAATCTGGACAATATTCTGTAAGACCAAGAAAAGTATTGTTCAATATAATGTATAATTATCATACATTTTACTAATTTACCCATAAATGTTTGGAAAATTTGAGGATTAAGTGTAATTATCCAGGGCCCAACTTCATATTGTGTTGGGTCAACAGCAACAAGTTTTAAAAATTCATCTGGAAAACCTTTCATTTTGTTGGCATCTGTGATTTTTTGTTTGACCAGCTTCGTTGCATATTGAACTTTCTGTCGGAACTCGTCGCTTCTTCTGTTAATTCTTTTAAGGCATTCTTGAAAAAAGTAATAATCTTTACTTTTCAAATCTAGTCCATTTAATTTACCCTCCAGTAAAAATTTTGTCAAAATACGCTTTTGTTCTTCTGTCCAGTTCTGGTCACCTTTTTCATTATGTTTCTTACATGCTTGATAAATTGGTTTACTGTTATACTTTTGACAAATTGCTAACCATGCCCTTTTTTGAATGTGCAGATAGTTTTGTGTTGGCATGAGTGATTGATTTCCAAAATATAAAATCTTTGAAACACCCCAAGTAGTTTGTAGAGGCATTTCAAACTTTTCGATTGGCTCCAACACATCACTAAATATGTTGATATTTTCTGGTTCTAAAAAATATAAGACAGCAAATTATATTTTATGTTTAACTAAAAAATTAATTAATTGAAATCATTCGTGCAATCCTTACCTGCACATTCCTTTTCTATGGACTTCAATCCTTGTTCAAATTCAATACTTTGCTTCCCTACAGCTGCTATACATTTTTCAATTGTTACTTTATTGAATTCAGGAAGTAAAGTTTCTTCTTTCAGTAAAGGATTTTTTTCTGGTAAATCTTCACCAATTTCAGGTAAGCTAAATAAAATGAAAAAACAATTTATAAGAAACTTGTAAGCTTTGAAAATAGAATTTAAGATGTTTGACAATAATGCCTCTAAGCATAATAATAGAAATATGTAGCAGTATCTATCTTTAATTAGTTTGAAAATTAATTATATAGAAGAAAAATCTATTATGATTGTGTGAAGGTATGATCATTTATATCCTTATACACTACAAAAAAATATGTCCAAAAAATGGTTACTAAGTTGAAAATGAAAAATTTAACATTTTTATCGTTTTCTACAAAAATTATGAAAATTGTCATCAACATTTGAGATGATGAGAAATTACATTGTTTTAATTAACATTATAAAATAGCTTTGTAATAAAAGTGAAATTGATTTAACCTCAAAATAATGAACTTACAGAACGTAAAAACCGCTATCACTTCGACGTGGAGTTTTTAAGAGATTAGTTCGTATGGAAAAGATCCTCCTTGCACAGAAGAGGGCCGTCATAATGTATCGCTACGATGAAACTAAACTAAATAAACTTCAACTATTTACATACATTTTTCAACATGCGATCGTCTGCAGCAAGAAACCTCGCTGCAAGCATGATACAATGTATATAGGTTTGGGTTGCTCATTCATTCGGTCATTTAAACATTGGAATTATGACCGTCATTAGGAATTTTTGAAGTTTGCGGTTTTGCATGGTTGTCGGGAAAGAATGAAGATGAAATGTAGTGTATTATATTTTTAAATATAAATTATATGTAAATAAAATTATACACTTTATAGATAGATAGACATTGTATTCAGAATTCCAGATGCGATTTAAGATTATTATGAAAAAAAATGATTATAATATAACAAAATTATTATAATGAAATGTACGATGCAATGTAAAACATGAAAATATTCTATTCAAATAAGATGATTAAGGTACTTTGCTAAAGTGACTATGAAATGGTTGATTACTTTTTATTTAAAAAAAGAATTTTAATCTTGTTCTTGAAACAATAAAATGTAGGATTCTTAAATCTTAAGGACTGGAACTTACCGAAAGTAAAAATCTTTGATGTTTTTGTATATACATATAATATATATTTATTTCTCAATGAAAAAAAAAATCTCTTACAAATATAATTATAACAAAGTCCATAATTAATATTTTTTTAATTCTTTTTCGAAATTTTCAATGTATAGATATTCGTATATCTGTAAAAATATATCGAACGTCCGCTTAAAATTATTATCGATATGTTATTATTCTATTCAAGGCACGAGACCATTGACGTTTATTCTGTACATAAGTAAAATAATTTATATACGTGTACGTACTATTTTAAACTGATTGCCTCTTATACGCTGTTAAACTTACGTTCTAACAGAAGAAGTCACTGTAAAATAATTGTCAATTAGAAGACTACAATATATTGCAAGTACATTTTTTATATAATCAAATTGATATCACAAATAACAATCAAATCTTTAAAGATTTCTCAATAACATTTCATAATGACTTCTAAACTTTCGCTAAAAAAACGTAATTACTTTATAATTCACTAATCAACTGTACAACAACTAAATTTTAATTTGAGAGTATTTACCGGCGTGAAATGTTCAAAGAACAACTACAAATTTTATTTTGTTTGTACGGCAACAAAACGCATCCAAATAAATGTTAATCCTAGCGTTAAGCACAACATAAGTAATCTTACGTGTTTTAAAAATTCCAAGTCTTTTTAAAATCAGTACATTTTAAGCTCATTTTATCAAATATTGCACTGTAAAAAAGTATATGCATCAATTAAAAGCTATACATCGTTCTACGTAAATATGGCATCTTGATTATCCTTTTTCATCGTATACAAAAGTTTCTCGGTAAGTATACGGTATGTTTTTTTTACGAAACCGAGCTGATGGCGTTGTGCGGCGTACCCATACGAGTAAGAACATTATCTAGCCATTGTAGAGGTCCATTTAAGTGCATTTCAATCCAGCATGGTGTTGAAGTTACATCTTGGCGGTGATACTCAGCTCCCCATCCTTTTACAAAAGACATTCTGCAACAGATTCATTTACATTAAAAATTTCTCACTGTCAATTGATTAATCATTGCAAAATTACAATTTACCTAATTGTGCACATCTTTGTAAGTTCGTAGACGGCTTCAAAACCATGACACACACTTTGTGCTAAAAGATCAGCAAATAGTTGATTGTCGAAGATTTTGAGCGAGCAAGTAGGTGGTATCTTGATAACAGTACTCAAGTGAAAACCGCGTTGATGATTACAATTCCTAGACTGTACAAAAATTGCCGAATCAGAGTTACACTCAGCAAACAGAGCACCTCCAACATAATGCAGTTGCACTCCTTTCCCAATATGTCTTCTCGTGTTCTCGATCGTGGAATTACGATTAACGTTAGATAACTGTCCCAAGCAAAATCTGGCAGAATTATTACGAGGATCGGTAAAACCATCAACTATGACCGAAGGTGACTGACAGTGAAATACTTCGCCTACCCGACAATTAAGTTCATAGTAGGCAATGGAAGCCCAATATCTTGGTTCCTGATAAGGCACTGGAGCAACATCCTGATTGTTACTGATATCCATAGCCATCATAGAATTAGGTGACGGCGATTGTCCATACTGAGAGCCATCTTCTGATGGAGAATAAGCAGGTGGTGGAGTTTCAGAAAGGCCATTATTGGCTCCATAAGGATTATGGCTATGATTATTTGCTGTGTTGATTGGGCTTGATACTGAACCATACGAAGAAACTGGTGAACTACCACTACCATCCATACTACTTGGACTGTTTCCCAGACCAGTGTTGAAGTCATTAGAATAGTATGACATATTCTGTGGCATAGCTGATTCACTGTGCTGCTGAAAAGTCATTGGCAATCTGCCAGGTGCAAACTCTGAGTGTCTAGGTACAAGAACAGGAGGCAGCACTGGACTCTCAACACGTTTGTAATGATATGGATTGATGCACACCTCTTTTTGTTTGGCTGAAAATGGATATTGACACATTTCTAGAGGTTTCAATTCGTGATGGGATTGCAAATCTGGCCATCTCCACACTCTGCAGTAGATCACGTGAGGTAGACCTTTGCGATGTGATACCTGTAATCTTCCATCAAGACTCCTGGGGATAGTTATACATTTACTTGGTGTTCCTGGATTACTAACAGCTCTTTCAAGCTCCTCAAAAGCACCTTTCTTCTTTTTTAGCTTTTTTACCAAAGATTCTACTGCTTTTTCAGCCCACTTTTCATCTTCGTCACCTTGCTTCCAACCTAGAAATGAATGTTTTTATTTACATATTAAAATTTAACAAAGTCATTATTAATTATTGTGATTTATCTCATAAATATTAAAAAATTTATTAGGTGTATATAGGGTAATAATGGATTGTCTGCTGAAAAACTTGGTGGAATACAAATATACAAATAGAAATAAAGTTTTAAATTTACCTAAAAGTTTCTTGACAGCTGGACTGGTGAACGAGAACAAATTATTGAGCGAGGCCATAGGGCCTGATCTCGAGGATCTTTCCTCGTCCATGATTGCGCCGATTTTTCGTTGTTATCGCCTCCCGTGATCCAGTGTTCTGTTCTACGACTTCACTGAGTGAAACAAACAAATAAAATAGACACTGATAAGTTCGTGATTGACAGAGAACAGAAGGCAACAACTTTCTTCAACACACGCGCGCAGGGTGATACTTTTCTAAAAATAGTCGAAGAGGACGAATGCTAAGATGGCGAATTAATAGTTTCTGATTTTTTTTGCTTATATATACATCGCATCGTCGTGAGATTCTAAGAGAAGAAATATTAAACAGCAGACAAAAAGCTTATCGCGATTGCGACAGAGCGCGCGCGGAAAAATCGGAGCGCGCGCTTTTTTTACGCCTCTCTTTGTCTCACTCTCACTCTCTAACGTCGTCGTCTAATCTTAAGAAAGACAGAGAGAATGAGAGGCTTTGATTTGTTCTCGACTCCGAAGCTGTTTATTGGGCGTATTGAAATGCCTTTACGTATTGCTGTCATGATTGCTGTTACAAAATCATATACGAGAAACACACGCACGGATTTACATGTATTTGCATAAGAATTTTGTTGAAGTTTCCGTGATCGTTCATTTCATGCCGTGTATAGCTGCAAAATAAGCTTCTTTCTGGTAGTCAAAGTTTTATTTGTAATCTGATAGCTCGCCTGATAAAAAAAACGAAGACACGCTTTGGTATTAATGTACCACACGTATTTTATCTTAACACTTGTCGAATAACTAAAAAAATTTTAAATCATCAAATGTTTGCCATACAGTAAGACACGAAAATTACATTACACACAAACTTTTTTAAAAGAATAAAAACAAAAAGGACAAAAAAAGTAGACTCGAATAACAGGCCAGCAGCAGTAACACGACGAACGTAATATACTTCTGAGAAATCAAGAGGAGAGTTTCTCGAGTGGATCTCTCGAAAAATCGGCTGCCCACTCCGCAGCACTTCTGAGCGGCAACTGACGCGCGCGCGAGAGACTCAGAAGCTGGCGCCGTTCGGGCGGCACCAGTTTATACGTTGCTTGCTTGCTGTCGGGTGGGAGAAGGGACGCCCTTGAGAAAGAAAGAGAAGAATCAAGGCGCAGGTAGATGGAATGCTTATATATATCCCTCTCGGTTCTTTAACGCAGGTGAAATTTTTGAAAGAGAGAGAACGTGAGTATAGTGAAACTGATGCTCCCTACAGTGAGATTATTATGCTACGTTCGCCCTTTGTCTGCGCTTTTAAGAGTTTTCCGACCATGCGAGGAATTCGAACGAATGCTGCTGCTGAGGCATTATGCAAGTCGCGCACAAATGCGTGTGATGTGCGTTGGTTCAGTGGCGAGATCGGTTTTCAGGTATAGGTACTTATAACCGTGACGCACGAGAGGTGATACGATTAATAAAGATGATGATATTTCCTTCTTCTCTTTTTTCTTATTGGTAGAAACTCGTTTCGATCTTATATTGGCTGCGATCAGCGAGATGGAAAATGTTGATGTGCAAGTTAGTGATTTATTCTGAACGATAATATTAAATTACCTATATATATATATATATATATAGGAATAGACATTCGTAGATTTTAGAGTTGATTTGCTTCAAACAAACTATTTTTATGGATAAATATCAGAACATATATACTATACGGCGTGCTAAAAACCTGTTTTCACGTCTATACGCATCACAAGTTCCATTCATCTCGTAAATTACCCCCGAAAACCGTCATATTCGAAGCTCTATTACACTTTATAAAACGATATAACCTCGCAAATACCAAGAAAAAAGCGGAGCCACGCGACAACACGGTTGTGCAAGGGTGAGAAAGCGGAAATCCGGGCGGTATGGTTATCATCGGAAGACGCCCTATAAAGGGAGGACAAGCGGAGAGAGACGACACACCGCATGTAAGCATCTGGTGACCATCAGGCCCCAAGGGCGCAAGATCTCTGTGGTTTCACAATGTGGGGCGCATAAGAGAAAGCCATGAAGTCTTCGAATGGCTTTATCAAGATTGAGGATTATAACACTTTAATTGTGTTATTGCTCGCTTATTTGAGAACCGTAAAAATCAAAATTATTTGCTTGATTTATTTCAAATAGTTCGCTAAGTATTTCGTTATATTTTTCAAAGATTGAAGAAAGATAATAACACGGCTGTAGATAAAAATGAATAATCTCTATCATACTTGTTTAATTACTGTGAAAGTAGTCAATCCGTGTCAAAAAGAACTTCGAGAAGAAATCCAAAGATATCCTTAATTTTTTATTCCTCTACGCTAATTGTAAATAAAATACAACTATAAATACCCGGAGAAATGATAAAAACACAAGGAAAAGTGTGTCAGTTGGTACAGTAAATATTTTAATAATACGAGCACTCTGACTCAAAACATATAAGGAAAAAGTAAAGCCTACAATAAATGGAGACCCTATATCTCATCCCCTGTATGCACTGTTATGTAAACATGTTCTCACGCGTGGTGTGTGATAATTATAAATAATTTCGGCGACGACGTCGCTATTTTTTGCTGTCCAGAATATAGTCCGACCTACTACTTGAAAAACCTTTAACGATCAATTTCCTTTTATCATCGCGAACAAGAGAAAAACATCGAAAATAACACACATGTACCAGCGAGAGACGAGAGATGCCAAAGATGAATACTACTCAATCAATTCATCTATGGAAATGCATCATTTGTTTTTTGAGGTTATATTTACACGACGACATATTCAGAACATCAATACTCTCTATAAATATAGCCGAGCAAGAAAAGTTCTATTCTCCAAAAAAAATATACGGCACTCATACTGATGAGCAATGCTACACCTACTTGTTAATATATCTAGAAAGAAGTACGAGAAAAAACTTACCTAACCTCAAACTCCTGTCTGTTATACAGCGTCAACTTGAAAAACAGAAAATAAAGTACACTTGACTTGGAAAAGTAATAAAAATTAGCTACGCAAAACTACACACTTGCGATCCAGTGAAGCAGATAGGCTATCTTATATACGTCACGCGGATGACATTGCGTTGTCCTGCTCAGCTGTTGCTCTTACGTACAATACATACGCGAACACACCGCTATAGCAATAGCGCCATCATGTCGTTACTCGCCGACCGTTGTGGTCGTGAGTCGTGACGCCAGAGTCCGGCTCGTGGCTCTAGTGTGTCGTCTTGTGTCGCTGTAGGAACTCGGACCGCTTAACCTCCTCCTCCCTTTCTCCTTACTCCCCGAAAGCCCGAAAACTACTAAGCTTGCACCCCACTACGAAAAGGTGGGATATACATTTTTTCTTTAACTGATATTCAACTGCTTTGTTAAGAAAAAGGCACTACATATGTTCGTAGAAAGTACAGTATTTTAGGTCTGGCGTGAATTGCAATTTTGTTTGATGAATAATTAGTCAACAAACTTTGATAGCCAATTTCGATGATTTATCCATTAAAACATTTATCTAAAAAATTTTTAATGTTTAAGTTGAAAACTATAGCAATTAATAACAAACAATTATAAATTTTCCTAACAATTAAAATAAAGTAGATAACTTGTTGCAAATACTTTGATATACATTCTAGCAATCAATATAACTGCATAAAGTTTATAAAAATTTTACAGATCAAGTACAAAAATGGGCTACAGCAAACTGAAATTGGGGACATTCTTGGCAGTATTGGCTGTTCTTTTGGCCCTCTATTTTAGAAATTCAGATAATATACTGCAAAAGAAATTACATTCGGTACTTAAGGCATTAGAGAATTTGGAGAAAAAACATGTGATTCACCCAAGGCCAAGAGTTGCAATTGGATATGGTATTTGTACTGATGTATATATAGAAGCAAATAACCTATTAGAATACAATGAAGATATTGGAGAACCACAGCACTACAATGAAATTAATAATAAAGAAGAGTTACTGAAAAGTTTTGCTTATTATTTCAGACATGGAGCTGCTGCTGAGTAAGTATATTTTTAATACTTTGCAGTTTTGAGTTTCTTCATAAGTACAAATCCTTATTTCATGAGTCAATTATTTATAAAATTATTTATTCAAACAGCTCATTCTTTCCAATATTGCAGACGCTATATGTCCAATGATACCCTATTTGATAATCTTGTGGCAGCGGCCCGTTCATATCCGTCCTCATACACAACCATCGGTGGCAATGCTGCCCTTATGGCTATGAGATTGGTTCGTGAAGGTTGCGATGTTGTTTTGGCTGCAAGAATGACTCACTCGTTGTTACAAATGATTCCTGAGGCTATAACTGTCGTCGGTGGTAAAGCTAAGCGGGATGATATTCACCTAGTTCTAGAGTACAAGAGAGGAGAAACTTGGGGTCCTTACACTACTGGTCGTGCAAATAGGTGATTTTCATTTATAGTAATAGAAGTGAAAACAGGGTTGGATATGTTTATTACTGAATATAATTTGCAGATACATTATACACAATGACAAATTAAATCCAGAAGCCAGTGGATTGGAAGAGTTGGAAAAGATTCTTCCTGAATTCAACCCACACCTTTTAATTATTAGTGGACTTCAGATGATGGACAATTATCCTTTCAAGCAGGGCGAGAGAGCATCCAGACTACAAAAAGTACATGAACAGATGATCAAACAACCGAAATCTATGAAAATACATTTTGAATTAGCATCCTATGCAGGAGAAGAGTTGGTGATGGAATTGAATAAGCTTATCATCCCATATGCTGACAGCTTAGGCATGAATGAACAAGAAATAGCAAATCTCTACAATTCTATGTACTACGGAAACATCTCATTAGTAGCTGATTCAACTCCAAGGGTAGCTGTTGTTCTTGATCAGATGAGAGCACTATTCAAATTGATTAGGTCAAGAGGTGATGGAATAAATAAAGCAAGACCATTGACTAGGATTCATGTTCATACTCTGGCTTATCAAGCTATATTGACTGTGAAAGATTCAATTTGGAAAAATACCATGGCTGCTGCTGCCAAAGCATCTTTAACTGCTCATCGACATGTCTGTAGTGTCAGTGAGGTAAGCTGAGTTTTTGTACAGCTGCCGACTAATTTCTCATCATCTATCGGTATCAGTAATCTAACAAAGACGACGACGCGACACCCAGTTATCGTGCTTCTCATGTTAATGTCAAACAATTAAATCTCAAATTAACTACCTGAATACAACACGCGGAGTCAATTTATTTACAGATAACTTTGTAATGATTTATTTACGAATAAAAAAAACCAGATTCAACAGATTTCGTCATTTAAAAAATATTAGCAAAATTTCACGTATAAAACTCATACAAGTAACATTATCAAAATTCATAATTTATTTTTAAAAAAGTACTCGTCGATCTCAATAATTTACTTCATCTTAGAATCTAAAAAAATAATGCGGAAATTAAAAATTACAGATCGACCTCCAGAAAGCAACGTTAATAATGGACGACAGCTTCACTACATCCATATTATCAGGAACGAGAATCCCATTGAACGTCGACAAGCCAGTAGCCTGTTGGAACGAAGTATTCCATGTTGGTGGTCGTCGAATTCCCGTTGATATATGCGTTGCTCCTGTTCTTGTCTGCACTGAAGCTAGTCAGACTGCTGGAGGTGGTGATAATATCTCCAGTGCCGGTCTTGCACTTCAAATTTAGAACTATGTGAGAACATTTTTAGTTTGAGAACGTTGATGAAAAAATGCTAACTTTTTTTCATTTTTGTATGTCTGTTGGCAATTACAATGTTTCTGAAAGTATATGAGATTTAATCAGTGTTCTCAAGCTCATATTATAAGATGAAAGACACAATTTTTCGAAGAACTAGTTTCTTTTTTGTACTTTCGACGACGAAACTTTCGGTTGAGAACATTCAATTTTGATATATTACTGTACAATGACACTTTGAACGTTGTGCTTAACGAAGAATACTTACACTAGAGAAGTTTCTACTCGAACTCATTGAACCAAAAACTTGATATTTGCCATAAGAAATAACGTTTTAATTATGATTGCTTCATTGGTTGATTAGAGTAGATCTTGTTCTTTTGAAAGTCTATGTTCATTCAATTGAATGAAATTTTTACTTAAAATATAATACACATTAATATAATACACATTATTGGCACTTTTGCTTTTAGTGTACCTTGAAAATCGAAATATTTTTTTTGCTGTTAATTATTGTCACTCATTGCTGTTATTTCAAAAACTACGTTCATGTGTTTAATTTTTACTTTAATCAATATCTACATATGGAATCTGAAGATACTTAACACCAAGTAACTATAAATTAGTACTCGAAATACCAAATTATTATACAGGGTGGCCCATTTTAAGTGATCCACTCAGATATCTAGATTGGAGTGAGTTTTATCGAAAAAAGTTTCAGACAAAAGTTACTCAACTTTGAAGGGGCCATGTTTCTATGACCTTGGATTTGACCTTGGAGGTCATGTTCAAGGTCATTTCAAGGTCAACTTTGTTTTTTTAAATAGGAACCCCCATTTTTGACCCCGGATTCGGAAAGAGCGGGAAATTTTACGTCCAAAACGGTATTTTTAAATTTTTTTTCATGGCCTAGAGAAGGTCGATTTAAGGTCAAATGCTTGAAAAACTGCCTAAAAGCGTTTTTTTAATTTTTAAGATATCGAAAAATGACCTCTACAAAATTTGTTCAGAATAGAGTGGGTCACCCAATGCACCAAAAACCTTTGACCTTTAACCTCATTTTGAAGGTCATTTCAAGGTCGAAGTGTTTTTTGTAATGGAAACCCCTCTTTTTGACCCCGGATTCGCACATAGCGCGAAACTCAACACAATACCTTATCCAAACGTCGGATTTCGCGCTATGTGCGTATCCGGGGTTAAAAAGAGGGATTTCCATTACAAAAAACACTTCGACCTTGAAATGACCTTCAAAATGAGGTTAAAGGTCAAAGGTTTTTGGTGCATTGGGTGGCCCAGTCTATTCTGAACAAATTTTGTAGAGGTCATTTTTCGATATCTTAAAAATTAAAAAAACGCTTTTAGGCAGTTTTTCAAACATTTGACCTTAAATCGACCTTCTCTAGGCCATGAAAAAAAATTTAAAAATACCGTTTTGGACGTAAAATTTCCCGCTCTTTCCGAATCCGGGGTCAAAAATGGGGGTTCCTATTTAAAAAAACAAAGTTGACCTTGAAATGACCTTGAACATGACCTCCAAGGTCAAATCCAAGGTCATAGAAACATGGCCCCCTCAAAGTTGAGGAACTTTTGTCTGAAACTTTTTTCGATAAAACTCACTCCAATCTAGATATCTGAGTGGATCACTTAAAATGGGCCACCTTGTATATACTATTTTAAACTTTAAACCAGATAATGTTAGTTAGAATTAAGAAAACTTAAGCAATGGAAGATGGTAAAAGAATAGTAAAAGTGCCAATTTTATTGTTTGTAAGTGCTCGATGTAGTTTTGACATGGTTTTCTGCGCGGCCTCTGTAAAACACTTTGCCATATAGGAGACTTGTAGGTACCAAAATAGATTCCAACACAGCAGCATTTCCTTGTAATCCATTCCTTTCTTTCTATTCCCACACCGACTGATTGTGATGCGCCTATAATAAATGCAGCGCGTTATAGCATTTAAAAGACATTATTTTGCGCGACAAAAAAAGAAATTATATACATGTTTATTAGCCTAAAACCTAAGAATGGAGTGAGTGTTTTATTCAAATATGATTTTTGTAATTACAAGTATTTAGAGTATTCAAGTGTTCTGTACAAATGAAGGTATATACAAACATATAATTTTGTAATATTTTCTGTTCCTTTTTTTTAGAATTTTAGTAGCATTCCATTTTCAGAATTGTTTTAATGATACGATTTGTAATGCTAAAAGACTTTGCAAAGCTTCAATAATGTACTTCAATGCAAAACAAGAAAAGGATTGTTATAGCAGGTTAAGAATAAGGTAAAATTAAAAAAAAATCTTATCCAAATGGTTGTATCGCTTATTTCTGTATTTATATATTTATATCTTGTGTTTCAATCCTGAACAAGATTCATTACAAAATAACAATAAGAGCCACAATTTCGCCCATATAATAGGTCCATTCGAAAAACGTCCACTTTGTGTCAGACATTGTTATCTTATCGTTATAGCTCAAAATGAATTGTATTTTAACTTTTACATCCGCATCAATTAAATTTTAAAAAATACTATTCTGATACGTGCAATAAAGAACATTGACATGAAAAACGTCTCGCGAACTAACATCTGTACAAATGAGAAGAGATAGAGAGAGAAAATTTAAGGCAGAATGCAATTAAAAGCAAAGATAATTTCGTCTGAAACACAAAAAAAACTACAAACTACATACACTGCATTTCTTACGTAAACACTAATTCTTCCATGATATTAAAAAAGTCTATAAACTTTGTTTTTTTTTCACCACTTCCAAATGCACGACGTCGCTGTTAAAATTTTCGTTCGTTTGCAAAGTTCGACATGACTTGAAACTGTACCAAATTACTTACTTATTCGTTTAATTATTAATTATTAAACAATTTCTAATTATTAGAAAAATTGGTTAAATAAAGTCAAATTCCCCTGGAATGTACTTTCGCCCTTCGCAAACAAACGAAAACCGTGTAGACGTTCCTTTACAGGATGGTATCACCTTCGTCAATACCAAGCATCTTAAGGTCGTCAGGTCCCGCAGATTCATCAGGTTCTTGTTGGGTAATTTCCGGTGGTGGTTGGTCCATGTAGTCAGGGCCGTAACCAACACATCCCAACATGCTGTACATCGAGCCGTACATTATCGACGTCTCTTGAGCCTCTCGAGCTGCTTGTTCAGCAGCTAATCGTGCAGCTTTTTCTTCTGGCGTCTCTTCTTTAGGGAAAATTATGTCGAGAGCTTCTTGTAAGTCTACTGGTAATGGAGCACCATCAGCACGTTTCTCACCTTCCACAGCTGCGACTGGTTCTTCGGTTGCCATGACCGATGGCATTTCCGATGTGACTGGAATTGTAGGTGGTGGTGCACTGTACATGTTTGGTGGGGGTATTTGCATCTGATGCATGTACGGCATTGATTGCATCGTCGGTGGTGGCTATGGATAAAATTAAATCGTTTCAAAGTACTATATTTGATATCTCATAAGCAAATGTAGAATCAATTCGACATTTACCTGATTAGTAGGATGTAAAAATGTATTTGCAACTCCAGTGACGAACGGTGGAGGTGGACCTTGCGGTGTAAATGACGTTGGTAATGGATCTGCCTTTGGTGGATATCCGGGTGGAGGTAGACTGGTATTTGGAATTACTGGTGGTGGTTTGCTTAAATCGGTGTTAGGTACTACCTCCTTGATAGGATCGACGTTTTGCTCAATTACAGTATCTTCTGATTGATCTTCAATTTCCATATCAACAGGTTCAGCTGTCGACATGCCGTTTGACTTCTCATCATCTTTTTTGTTCTTGTCATTTTTTTCATTCAAGATTGGTGGTGGTGGAGCTACGAGGATTTTCATCTGACCTTTTGGTTGAGTAGTTGGTAAAACGACTGGTGTGGCAAGCTTTGGCACGTGTACTACACCTAAAAATTTAAATAATATTATGAGTTTTACGTAAAAATAACAAATAAATTAAAATAGCAACGATATATGTTGTCATTTACCAGGTGGATTAATGATATCACTGGGCACTTTAGGAGTATCTTCAAATTTGCTTTGAGCATATGGCAATGGTGCCACTTCCTTTTCGGGCAGCTTTGGATCGTCTTTCTTCTTGAACAACGGCAATCTCCCAATAAATGGTAACTTACCTTTCATTACTTGCGATTGCCCTTTCTTGGAGTTGGAATTACTTGAATCTTTCTTAGATTTGTCGTTACTTTTTTTCTCGTCGTTCGAGTCGTCATCACCACGACGTTTGTTGCCGTATTTATCGAAGCCACGCTTTGGACTATATTCGCGACTATGGCGAGGTGAATCTGAACCTCTATACCTGCCACTCCTACTGTCGTAGTATTCTCTGCGAAAGGTTAAATAAAAAGCTTTATAAAGACGATACTTAATGTAAGAAATAAATTAATTTTAATCTTAAGTTAAAGTGAGATTTTTGTTTAGTTTTAATAAAGTAAAGTGAGACAAGCTTTGATTTGACAAACGAGTAGAACAAAATGAAAAAGAATGAAAAAATCGAATTCTCTGTTTTGTTTGGAAATAAATAAAATCTTTATTTGAGTGTAGTTAGTTAACAAAATTGAAAAAATTACAAAAGCTCATGTCACACCCTCTCAATATTTCTTCTCTCTCACCTATCGCGTCCACCACGACGACGATCGTCACGATAGCGGTCGTCCCTGTAGCTACGCTTGTAGTCATCATCACGTTTATCCCATTTGCCACCGTATTCGCGTCTGTCGTCTTTGTACTTATCGGTACTTCGGCTACTATCCCTCTCGTCATCCTTATCTTTATCGGTCTTTACTGGTTGCACTTGTTGTTTTGTCCAAAAACCCATATGTGGCTTTGGTATGTCTTCGGGTGGTTTGACCGGTGCCACAGGAACTGGTTGAGGAGCGACTTTGGATTCTTCATCTTTTTTGATCCAGAAAGGTTTTGATGGTTCTTTTGGACCCCAAGCTTGCAATTCTCCATCAGTGTTGTCGGATAGTTTGCTGTCTTCCGGTTTCGGTTTCAGCTTGTTATGATGGTTATCTGATGGAAGGTTAACTGAGCCTGTAAATATTTGAAATTTTTGTCACACGTTAATTTCACAAATGAATTTAGTTCCTAAATCCACATTGTTCAATTATTCAATAGCTTAAAAGTTTTTCAATAACAATATACTCTTAAAGTAATTACAAACTTATCCTATGAAATTAATTTTCGATATATAATATTTTGCTTATTTTTGACGTCAATGAAAGTTCGGTATTAATAGATAACATTTGGAATGTACGTACCTTTGTATTCATACATGTCTACCTCATGATGATGCGCCACCTGATTTGAGCTCTTTCCTTTATTCCTCATGGCTACTCGAATACTCTTGGATGGATCATCTACCATCGAAGGCCCATTGCCGTTGTTCGTGTCAGATTCATTGCTGTCGGTGTCACTGGACGATTCCGAGTTGCTACTTTTTGTCTTGCGTTTTTTTGATTTTTTCTTGTTTTTCTTTGCCTTCTTCGACTTTTTAGGCTTAGCTACTGGAACTTCCTCTTTTTGTTTCTGGATCTCCATTTGAATTTGCTTATTCTTCTCATCAGAGAAAGCTTTTTCACGGTCAGCCATCCAATCCGTTTCCCAGTGTGGATTTTGTTCTACAAATCGCTGTACAAAAATAATAATGTATATTAAATATATGTTTTTATTAAAACTTATTCGTGCAAATTGTTACAAGCACTCACAAGTCATAGCAATGAATAGTTATTTAATATTTAATATTAAAGAAAATATTAGAAAATGAAAAGTAGAATACTTTTCAATCATTCATCAATTTAAAAAACGTTGTTCGCCTTTTGTAAAAAAATTACAATAAAATAATTCTTTTATACAAAAATATGTTTTTTTCTTTGGATAAAAATAGCAAAACTATTTACACTGTAGTTCTCGGAATGTCGACGAGACTTCAAGTGCAGACTGGCACAATGAAGATCACCGATCCAAGCGTTGCAAAGTCTGCAATACCATGCGGTAGCCGGGCTGAAGAACTGCAAGCCTGCGGAAAAAATCATAAAAGGACCACGGTTAAGCAAATTAACAGGAAAATTTATTACATTTATGAATCATAATGTTATTTATCAAGTTTCATGTAGACAATGACCTTGTGCTCATCTCGCGCATAATCACAGACTGAAAGCAAAGGATGATTTTTTTTTCGTTAAAAGATAGATTGCCGGTGGATATTTTACTTATAGAGCTAGAAAAATATAATTAATATATATAGGTGACGTCCATGCTCTGCGAGAAATGTTCCTTAAAAAAGGTCGTAAAATTACAGGGATGGCGTGGAAAAATACTTCTTTATTTGGTTTATTGTATACATATTTTTTTACAAGCAATAAATAGCTATTCATATTCGAAAACTTAAATAAAAAAATAGTATAAAAATATATGTATTAATTTTTATGTAATACATAAATCGGAGCACTGATACAATTGAAGCATCGCTAGCAATGTATACACACGCCACATGCGTCTATTATATCTTCTTTGATAAGCACTCATCACTTCAATTTTTTTTTTTTTTTTTTCACAACTACGATGTTAAACACAAATCGAATTTAAAATGGAATTTTAAATAAGCACTGTACATAAAAAGAGAATCACTCACGAGTACCAAGAATATTCACTTGTTTCCGCACTTTTATACTTCTCTTAACCGAACACTTCTAATACTCTTCTGGCAAGTATCAATAAATACTTTTTGAAGCCTTTTCGTACAGCTATATTTAGGGAAAGTAAATAAACAAATAAACAAACATATGTAAGTCCGACAATCGTTCAACACCCAAAGGACAGTGAAGAATGTAAAAAATCGCACCTGTATTTGTGTAAAAGTACATGGTAATGATCTAATAATTCCGCTGGCATATATTTATTTTTTAATGTCTTCAATACATACCGGGTACACGCGACAGTGTCGGTGCGAACTCTACGGAATGTTTCTATATAATTAGTTAAGAGAATATGATTATTCATTGGTATGTTCGTACCTTTAATTGGTGTTCTTTTCGTCGGCAGTCCTGGATAAAATGGCACTTCCTTCTCCGGTCCTCCGTGCTTGTCATCGTGCCATGGCATATCGACTATCTTACGCTCCTGAAACAGAAAATAAATTTATAGTAATATTGTGCTCCTTTCAATTACGTTAAGCAATAAACATTTATCTTTTACATATTTAACAAAACTTTCTTCAAAAATGAAATTAATGAAACTTGAATAAAGTTTCAGTCGACACTAAGTCATCTAGTAAATGTTCATGCTTTGCTTTTAATTTCACGAACATTTTGTTCAATTTAACCCAATCGTTGTTGTTGTAAAATCTACACGAAGAGGTGGTGACTTATACGTATACATTACTTCTTTGAACAATTATTCATTTACGGTCTAATGTTTCGAAAGGAGAAATAAAGCCGTGAAACACGAAAATTACTGATAGACAAATAAAATAGATTATTTGAAATGAGGATCACGTTCCATTTATTCGCATCGATTCAATATCTTAGAAACATGATAATAATAATACGAACAACTTAAAAAAAAAGCCCATTTGCAGTCGATGAAAATAAAATTTTCAACGTTACTGATACATTAAAATCAACTATATATATTGATTGTTAGTAATGAAGAGAATTCAACTTACCAAGCAAGTTTCTTTATGCTCATTGCAATGAAGATGATTTAAATATTCTTTAGCAGTTTTCGGAAAGATGTCACAAGTTTTGCACCAGTGCATTTCCGGATCATAATGAACGAAGTTGTAAGCTGGTCTCTCATCTTCTTTATCTTCGGAGCGTGGTGATTCGGCAATCTTTTTAGCGTCCTCTTTTGGACTTTTTGATCGATTAACTGCGTCAGGTTTGTACTTGACTTTCAAATCATCAACAGTAACTTTGTCGCCGATTATTCCAGTTAACATGTCGATTACGTTGTGTATGGATTTCATTTTATTTTGAATCTCGACCTGTGAAACAAGATCATATTCGATACTAGAACATGTTTCTCTCGGGAAATGCGAATAAAAAAAAGTATTTTTAAAATTCGAATAAACCAACTGTCTACCTTTTGCGACTCTGTTCTACCATATTGTATGTAAGCACGAGTTGCGCACAAACAATATATGTATTTTTTAACGAGCTATTATAAGTTATATTGCAACCTTTCAAGAACTAAAATTATTTTCGAACATTGAAAAGTATTAAAAAATATCGATGTTTTTTCTGGCATGAATGATAATATGTTGAAAATGGTAACGAACCTGTAGTTTTTGATTCTCCTTGATGATACGATTGTTTTCCCTTCCACCCTCGTTATCGATCTCCTCGTACTGCTTGCGTAAAATTTCCAATTCCCTCTGTAGCCTCACCGTCTTCTTCAGATACTCTTCACGTTGTTTTGCTAGCGTGGCTTTCTGCTGCTTTAACTCGGCTGCAATTGCTGTTTGTTATAGAGCATGTATTAATTATATAAGCATTACTGCATGCGGGTTTGAAAAGAGCAGCTACTACTTTTTTTCATACATTTAATTTTTCAATCGGAAATGAATTATTTTGAATGTATTTAAAAATAAGGACTTAGCAATAACTATTCAAGTTAACTACTTGTAACTGTCAATACATAACATCCATAATCTAGCCAAAGAATAAATACTCAGGGAACAAAAAATTCATAATACATGAAAAAAAAAAGCAGCTACTACGATAAAAAATGAAAAACTTCATAAACGACGCACCTTCTTTCTTGGCTTCCTCGGGTCTACCAGTGGCAGCAAGTAGTGCCTGTGCGGCAGCCACTGTTGGATCGACGACTCTTTGTTGTTGCGTTGGTGCCACAGCGGCAGCAGCAGCCGCTGCCGCTTGAGCTGCAACTGCTGCTGCTTGTTGTTGGGTGCTATAGGGCATATTGCCTTGCCAGTTTGCTGGTGGCGGATAGTCCTGCGAATTAATGGCAAATACTTCGCTCAATCTTGTCCTACTCTTACACCAGTATATATACAAGAAAGTACAATAACGACAGTAGCCCGAGAATCTTTTCTTTTTTTCGGTTTCGATATGACTTTCTTGGCTTTTCTTACCTTTTGCTGCTTGTTTTTATTCAATGCAATTTCATTTATCTTATCTGATATTTCATCATATTTCTATGTAAAAAAAGAGTGAAGTGGATTTTTGACGACTGTATATACTTACACTCTTGAACACTTAAACAATGTCTATACCAAACTTGCTGTGCAACTTTTGTTTTTTGAAAATAAACTTAAATGTTCTTTTTTTGTGTGTGACCTATTAATTGTAAAACACTACCAACAATAATGAACAGGAACATTATGATAGAGTTGAAGCAGAGAAGATCATGCGTTGATACTCCAATTTTCCTGGTTAAGAATTGAAATTGAAAATCGTTCTAGAACAAAACTTCAACTTACATTTCTGTAGCCTGTAGGTGCTTGAGGTTGATAATTGGCTGCATTGTATTCCGGATAGGCTGCATTATAGTTGTAATTGTAGTTTCCATAGCCTTGGCCATATGGAATTGGTGGTGGTGGTTGACTGGTATTTGGTGGTGGAGGAGCTTGCTATAAGAAATAATTATGTTACACGACAAAAATTCCATTTAAAAATATCTATACACAAAAGTTACCAACTAACATTGTATCGAGCAATCACTGGTGGTGGATAACTGGTATTAGGTGGATTGGAAGCTTTGTTAGAGGGCATAGTAGATTTCCAGTCACTTTCTTTGGAGTTTTCTTTTCTCCTAGATATCATTTCTCTCTCACTAGATCTTGAACGTGATCTAGACCTTCTATATCGTCTCCTCGGTGATGGAGATCTGTCATACTTTTTGGATCGTCTTCTCAATCCATCAGATTCTTCACTTGGACTCCGAGGTCCTCTCCTTCTTGACTCAGATTCCATCATTTTGTAAACTTATTGTTTAACTAAACAAAAGAAAAATGTCAATCACTCAACAATTTGCTGTACCATTTCAGCATTAGAGCAAAAGGAGTGTCGGAAATAGGCGTACAATTGGTGCCAAACAATGATTAGGCTACAATTATCAGTGTAGCCGGCCATTATATGACATCTAAAGCTAGTAAATAATTCAGGCACATGCAACAAAACAATCGATGTACTATTAATTCTAAAAAAACTAACGAGGTTATCGCTCTGAACGAAGAAAATTGAATTATCTGCAAAGCGACGAAATCGAATCAATGAAGGTCAATTATCTTACTCTACCGAGAAAAAGATAGATGAAAGTAGCGTCGGCCATTGAAATCGAGTCGAGTGGAACTAAAATCACCATCGTACGCGTGCGTTGTGCGCGCGCCGGGCGACAGAAGTCCACCATTTCTTCAACGGACATTAACCTTCATTATTAAACTTTTTGGAGACTTACTTTGCGTGATGAAATTATACAGCAATTCCACATGAAGTGCGTTTGAATTAAAACTTTTCGGCACTTAATAAATCGTCGTCGCTTAATGATTACGGATAAAATATGTAACGAGCGAATGTCGAACGCTTCGAACGTGTAAAGCCAGAAGTATTTTAACACAGCCAGCTACGTGCTTCTAGCTACCACCTTTTCATCTCTGCTCGTGTCCCGAGTCCCGACGAAATTGCTTGGCTTGTTCCTTTTTTCTGTTAGCAGCGATACTGACGCATGCGCGTTAGGGACAATGGGAAAAAAGATGGTTATAGATGGCACTGGAAAAGCAAAATTTGTTTGTATCGACGATTTTTTAAATTTGAATTTTTTAGATAAGAACACTTTTTTTAACAAAACATTTATCAATGGTGTTTATTAATTAATATTAAAAACTAAATTTCCCAAGATTAATTAATGCACGATCAAACTAAATGTATCTCATATGTCCAATTATTTTCTTTTTTAACTGTGAATTAAAAAAATTTATTAGTTTCTGCCATCTGCTCCAGAATACGAAAGCTACGCGACTAATATGACTTTGATAAAGCAATGAAGGCTTTCTAAATAAAGAGACATAAGACGTCGAACAACGAACATCGGACGAGTACTAAGATTATCAAGTTAAAAAATAAATTGTTGTTTAACATCTGGGTGTTTCGGTGATTGCGCAGGATGTGAGTATCATAAAAAATATAGAATCATACTGTACTAACATTATTAGTACATAATATATCATTTGACTATCTTTTCTCGCCATGATAAACATCTGATGGCCGATGTCCGACGTCTTGTTTTGTAAAAAGTCGTTATAAATAAAAAGTTTTCAATATTGTATAAAATGATTATCTCAAAAAAAGAAATATTTTATTATTATTATTTTATTATTTTACATTATTTTACAGCACCAAAAAACTTTATTATTTAAAAAATTCTCAAAATTTGGTGCATTTTTAAAGAAAATTTATACAGATAAACATTTTTCTTAAATTTTTTCGTTAAAATATTAAAAAGAAAATATACTAATTATTTCGATTGTGTTTACTTAGAATAAAGTAATAATTCAATAAACTCGAAAGTAGAAAAAAAGCAAATTTATAGGGGCAAAACAATGTAGGATTTGCACACTCGCCCAAAGCAAAAATCTCACATTCGATTGTCCCTCGCAGTGAGAAGTGATGATCCTGACCCCCCTCCTTACCCCACCTTTACAAGCCCAAGCAAGATATAAGCCGCTGGCGCAGCTCAGAGGGAGGGTGGGTGGTTATGATAAAGCGCGCCGACGCAAAGGATATGGCACATGCGCCGTTCCGCACTGTACTAGCTCCCCGTTGCGTTTTAGTAAAGTCGATCGATGCTGGAAATAGCGCACGGCGACCTACGGATAGCTGCTGCTCTGCCTCTCTCGTTCTCGTCTTTTTTAAGTTGCATTTTATTCGGCTCGACGGGAATTCGCTACAACGAGGGGCTGTGCGTTTTAATCACCGTGGTGACATGACGCGGAAAAAATGCTCGGCTGGTTAATGGCCCGACAATCGTAAGTACATTTCAATACGTACGTAGAGAAGCATGCCGCTCTTTAGGTGGTGAACGAGTGAGAGATGATCGATGCCCACCATGTAGTCAAAGAGATTTGCATGTGCGCGCTTTCTCTCTCTTTCTCCACCAAGCATAGTCGACTGCTAAAACTGGCTGAGAATACAACTGTGTTTTGTGTGTGGCAGGTGAGACTGCAATCAAGGTCGATCATTCTTTTTTTCTAATTCCTGTGCGGATGCTGAATGTTAATTGTTGCGGGATATGTGCGTGGCCTTGAAGTTTGCTCCTGAAAGAGCGTGCGACATTCTTATTTTTGGCAATGATGGACTTGTGCACGTGAAGTTTGGCGAATTATTTTTTATTCCGCGATTTGAGTGTAAAAACTTTCTCGCTATTATGCACGCAAATAGCCTAACCCTATTAGAAGATCGCATGAAAGGAAAAAGCTTTCGAGACATTGACTTGGAGTTATTTAAAAGAAATCATGCTCGCGGCGAATAATTTCATGGTGCGTGAAAAGTCTCCAATGGGTAATCGAATGAGCGAATGGACAATTATTGAGCCGTGCACTTCGGTATAGTTTTCCGTTCGAGTAACATTAAAATTTTTTTTTTTCAATCATCGACTTTTCACTTGGCAGAAAGTCGATCCAATGAGAAGACTTGATAAGCAATCGCGCTAGCAAGTTCCTTATGAGCTTCTGCGCTTTCCTTCCTTTCGTCGTTTCTGCCGCGCGTTCAAATTGAAATTTTCCATTGAGACTTGAGATTGCTTCTTCTCTCTTGGCTTTAATTCTCTTCAAGTGGCGCTTCATGGCAACCGCTCGAGGTGATTTGCGCAATGACACCAACAGAAAGAAAAAGTTATCTTCGATCATTGTTACATCTACTCATTTTCCGTTAGGACCCTGTTACTTGTAGCAATCTGTTGATCTTTACTGAAAAACTTTGATATACTGCGGATTTTTCGCGTGTTGAAATTTTACTCGCTAAGAATAAGACTTTCCTTTCTTTGCTCAACACTTTTCAAGGGGGGCAGGAGGGAGGAGTACCTTAGTTATAACTCTGGCTGGATTTCATTAGTTCGTTTGCTGTGCACATAACGCAGCTGAAACGCTCACAGCTTTTCATTAATCAACGCTTCGCGAGCAAATATAGAACAAAATGCTTCGAAATAAAAACAAAATGCGTGCATAATGAAAACCTCGCGTGCATAAAAATATAAAAGTTTTTTAGTGTTATTATACACTCCCTCATCTATTATTAGATTTGTTGGTACTTAAAGGCTCCTCGTTTGGCATGCAGGACAATTGCCTACCAATTTATTCGCCACAAGCACTATGCGCACCGCGGGCTTTCGCGCGGAGTTATTCATTCTCACGTGCTGGAATAGGAATGAAAAAGGTATCAAGCCTAATCGTCACGGAGCAGTGGAACAACGTGGCCGGCGTGCGTTGCGCAGGCACGCATCGAAAGCGAGAGTAAAGGAGGAAGGGAAGGGGGAGGGTGAATTGCGAGGGCCACTCCTTCTCCCCCCCCCCTCCGGCCCCCTCCCTTATTTTAGCTCCCGCACACGACACTTTCGTTTCGGCCGAAGACGAGGATCGATCGTCTCCCCGCAGGCGTTCTGCTGCTTCTGCTGCTGCTGAGTGTAAACGAGAAATTTTATTGTATGTGTTTCCTACTTTGTCGATAATATGAAAATTTCGAGGTCTTTTTCTCCTGTTGGATTGTGGATTTGTTGTTATTGCTAATCGATTCCTCGTTGTAGATATGAGGTTTTGTTTTTATCCTTGGATTTATTTTATCTCAATTGAGTCTCGCTGAAAAAAGATTATATGGGCTAGCTAGATAAACGCTGCGAATTGACGATGTGAAAGTGTACCGATGAAATTTCTTTTTTCTGAGTGTTGAATGAAAGAATTCAGTGTTTGTACATTATTGTCAATATTGTTGTATGTGTAACCAAACGCACGTACACTCGTAGTTTGAATTGTCCTTTGTTCTATTTATAAAATCCAATCAAACAAATATCGTATTTCCATAAACATAACAAATATTCAATAAAAACCGGGCTATTACGACCTTTTGAATAAATTTCTATGATAAAAAAGATAGTCCATTATACGAACCCCTTAAACTTAATTTTATGACCGTGAATTAACAGAACATCGCGCAGTAAATTCCAAAATAAAATCTTATCAGTCTTGCAAATATCTCGCTCGTCGAAGAAAAAGTACATCTCAATCTCAAAAAACGCGCCGTAACGTTTTAAGAGTCTCTCGACTAACGAACTCTAATTAACCAAACTACCATCGCACGACGACGATAGTGAAGTGGCATTATCACTTGTGCACTCGCAAAAATTGTATCAGAAGAATATCACACGAATGCTTTGGTTTTACAGATCTTGTGAATATCAGAAATAACGATAAAGGAGTGCTGTTCTTACGCGACACGCTTAATAGTTCATGTTTCTTGCGGAAATTAAATTATTCTCGCGCGTGCGAAAAGATTGTTTTGTGTGCTAATTAGATGGATTCACTGAATTTTTTGTTATAAATGCAAGATAGGTGCAAGACACCACGGCGTTTGATGTAATGCTGAATAGGATGTACTAACTCTATAACTCTTTGTTAACTGTCACGGTCATTATTTGGTCTAGTAACGTGAATGAACAGTTCAGTTTGAGCTTAAATTATAAATTTAACTCAGCTGAATGTAAAATGAATTTCTGTTGGTATCAGTGATCATCTGATTCTTACACTAACTTTCGAAATTTTTTACGCAAACGCTTTAAAAAAAATTATATCATCACATTTCGATGGAGACAATGCAATTGAAAGAATTTTCATTTATCCTACCTCGATCACTGTATCCGATATAAAAAAATTAAGCAGACTTTCTCAATACTTCGTCGAACATTAGTAAGTAGTCAAACTTACGCACTCTAAAAAAACGGTAAATGAATTCTCGTTCACCAAAAACGAATGTTTGTCGCCATAATAATCCCCTCGTTGTACCTACAGTCATGGCCTTGAGCTTGCTAAAAGCGCACCTGAGCGTGAACCCTTGTATATTTGACAAGACAATCCCCACCCCCAACAAAAAAATACTTAAGGAGAGGGAGAAATAGAAACGAGCTGTCCCGACCGGTTTCCTAGGGGTGGCGCGCTCGTGGGTAGCTATGCGGCCTAATCGATATGAGTGTGCAACGACGCCCACCTGATCTTTTCTCTCTTGGGCTTCAACAATCCACTCTCCCCTACCCCCGAATTATTTTATTGATGAGTATGCGCACATGTGTGTTGCTCTCCTTTTTTTAGTTTTTCTCGGCGATGCGAGATTTTTTTGTGATATTTGATGTAGAGAATTGTTGAAAAACATTCGGCAAAAAAAAGAGCTTTTATAAGCATTGGACATAGTATTGTAATACAATTAACGTAATCTGATAATTAATAGAAACAGCGAAAACAGCATACTTTAACATATATAATTAATTGGTTTCAAGCTTCTTGGAAAGTTTCTATATCGAAATATGTAATAATTAAAATTTGCAATAAAATTCGAACTACAGCTGATTTCTAAATGATATTTCAATGTATAAAAAAAATATTCTATCATTTCTTTTTTTTCAAGAACCAAGTAAGCGAGTGAATATATAATCACTGTAATGAGAGTTAGGTCAAATTTAATAATCGACTCTTCGATTTCACTACGTATTATAGTTCTCTAACCATACGACTTGACTCTCTTTTGTTCTCTCTTTTCCTCTCTCAAAGGACAAGTGCAACGACACATGACGGGTATGGGCGATCAATCGCACTGTATACTCTTTTTTTCTCTTAGATTACGCTTCTAAAGCCCGCATCAATCAATTAGAATGTCATGTACGTGCAACGGAAATTACAACATCGCAGCTGAGTAAATAAATAATCGACAAAGTTATTTCCATCCTTTTTTTAAAAAAGATCTTTACGTCGGTGGGGGTTAATTATTGATTTAAATACTGCAGTGAGCCTTCTTCTAACAATCGATATTCTCCTCTTTATATACACATACCTACCTGCTTTTCTATCTTTGTTCTCTCTCTCTCTCTCTCTTTCTCTCTCTCTCTCTTTCTCTCTCTCTCTCTCTTTCTCTCTCTCATACGCTCTTTTTCTCTCTTTCAGTCGATTTGCAATACATTAGCATTGATTTATTGAAAGTGTTTATGTGGACTTTGAGTTTTTTTTACACTTGTTAGCGTCGCGTGGCTTTATTTTTCTGTATGACGTATTTTCCAATTCGATATTACGTATGGATGAGCAGAACGTTTGCGATTGATTTTTTTTTATTTCTTTGTGCCTTAAAGCTTATAGCAAAAATAGACTTGCAGTGTACTAGGGATGAACGGTGATTTGATAGAAAGATGAATCGCTTTCTTCGTACATCCGATATAAACGTTTAACTTCGTAGAGTAAATGTTGAACGTTCACAATACTTTACTTTTTGATTACACATGAACTTTACGTATTTTTAGTTTTACTTCTTCAAATTCATTTACATACCTAAACCGAAGACTAAAAGACAAATAAGGTAAAAATAACGCGAAGAAACTGTAGAGAAAACAAATGCCCCAAAGTGATTATACCGAGAGTGTGTTAACGAAAAATGTAATAGTAGTATTGTGGACACCACGTGTAGAGAGAAATGGAATCGAGACTATCCTTCTGTCCGATCAGTTTGGCATCGAGTCAAGTTTACACTGACATATATTCCGCGTGTGGCTTTACTTTCACGATTATTGATTGAAATTTACTTTGCCGCAAGGTGAGCCATTGCTCAGGGTCCCTGAGCAATGGCTGAGTGTAAATATAAAAAATTGAATGTTACATTGAATATTCATGTACACATTGTAAGTTGCATGACAATTGCTTTCATTAAGATTGTTAAATGAAAACCCCGAAATGTTGTCGAAAGATGATGATCGCCTTAACATTATATTATTCCCGTAGGAAATGTTAGAGCAGTAGTAATATTTAAAAAAAAACGTAGAAAGTCGGCGCAATATTCGCAAAAACCCAAATGAGACAAGTAAGGCCAAATAAGTTTTAATTAATCATACAGAAAAAAACTTACTTGAATCTAACTGATGGTGTGCTTATGCTTGTTCCTGTAATTTTGATCCTGTAAAAGTTGTTTAACTAAACTGTACTATTGTAAAATAATATCTGAATGCTTGATATTATGTTTGCTTGGAAGTTGCTAGCAAACCAATTTGCTAGGATAACTTCTTGCACTTTTATCGTATGCCAAGAGAAAAAATTTGATATGCCCTTAACCTTTTCTATTCTAATTGCTTTAACCAGAAAATAATTATTTTTAATAAAAGATAATCAATAAAAAAATGAACTATTTAAAAAAATTTATAATATATCATGAATAATATGTTATAAAAAAGCTGTTGTCAACATTTCCGTAAACTAATTATAATAATATATAACGTGTTTGTGATATTTTTCAATATTTAAATTTAAAAAATTGATTAGCTAGATTCAAAAAAAAGTTTATTTTCTTTTTACTAATTCACTAACCGAAACGTATATTCAAATAAAAATATCTTATGTAATAATTTACAGAGGCCTCCACACCACGTTAGCTCTTAGAGGATGCACAAGCTAGCTAAGGGCCTGAAAAAAAAGAAAAAGCAGAAGAAGGGCAAGAAGGGAGAGGACGACGAGGAGTTCGATCCAGAGGAGCTTGAGCGTTACAGACGCGAACGAGCGGAGGCCCAACAAAAGCAAGCCGAGGAAGCAAGCACCACTGAGGCTGCTACTGCTGCAACCGGTAACGACGAGTGGAAGAAATTCCAGGCACTCACATCGGGTATCGACTCAGTTCTCAAAAAGACTCAAGACGACTTAGATCGTATCAAGTCAACCTCGTTCTTCCAACGCAAGGCGCCGGAGCCCGAACCTGATCCTGAGGAATCACCCGAGGTTATTGCCAAGAAACAAGAATTAGCCAAACGTTACGCTGGTTTTGACGAGCAAGGTAATCCCATCGAAGTCAAAGACGAACCCGAGGAGGAAACAGTTAAACCTCTACCCGTGACCGAGGATGGTATTGTAGAAGTACCTGACGACGACGAGTTCGAGGAAGAAGATGATATCTTCGACACAGATTACATTGAGACACTCCAAAAAGTTGTTCAGGAGGTCCAATTAGCATACATTCCAGAAAGTCCTACAGAGGAAGAATTAGGTGACGATCCTTTCGATACTAGCAACGCAGATAAAGTACTCAAGACTGTCGACAAGAAGGGCAGAAAAGTAGTTAGTTTGGGCAATGCTGTTGAAGTACTTGCTGGACGCGTTGATTATCAGAGTACCTGTAAAATTGGACGTAATAGACCACGAATAAATAGAGATCTCTTATTAGAAAGCTTTGACGCTGACGCAGAGCCTATACCTTCAAATAATACAGAAACAGAACCTATTGAAGTTGAAAAAACATTATTAGACGACGACAGTGATTTGCCTGACATTCCAATAGACTTAACTCAACTTCCACCAGTATCGCCTAGACCTATCACACCTGCAGCAAACGAAGAAACTGATAACGATTTGAACAAACCGTTGGACATATCTGAATTTGAAAGCTTCAAAGACAAGACACTATTGGACGAAGTTCCAACATTAGACGACGACGAATTCGATTTAACTGCCCCAGACGAGACAGTCGTTTTAGAAGAACCTGAGGATCCATTTGCTGCTAAGGAACCGGAGGATCTTGGTTTCCAGGAAGAGATAATTGAAGCTTGTTTCGAAGCTGCGAGTATCATCAACGAAGACGATCCCTTTGACACTACTATCGCAGCGAACATCTTACCTGGCAAAACAGAACTCAAATTTATTGAGAAAGAACTCGAACAGGTTCCCATATCTGAAGTATCGATATCTCTTACAGATCCTAGTGGATTGAAATGTGATTATGAAACTGGATTATTAAAGAATCAATCAAATAGTCTTAGTGTTACAAAGAAAGACTTACTAGGAGGTTCAGCCACAGATTTAAGTCAGTTAGCAGATAAACCTATCAAACCAGTTGAGGAGATCTCATACGTCGATCCATTTGATACCTCAAATATCCAAGAATTACCTCCGGGAAGAACAGAACTCAAAGTTCTTGAAAAAGAACTTTTAGGTGAAAAGAAAACACCGACGCTAGACGATCTAGAAGACGACGATTTTGATCCTAGAGCAGAGGAAAAGAAAGCAGCACCACCGATAAGACCACCACCGATTACTCCTAAGGTTCCTGTTGCCGTACAAGCTGACGAAGAAGTTCCAAGAATTAGTGGTAGAAAACCATCCAGACCAGAAGCTCTTGACATTGCTCCGAAGATAGTTGCCTTTAATATACCAACACCTAAACCAGATCTTCTAGCATCTAGTGAAGAAGAAAAAGCATTACCAAGTAAACCTCTAACACCTTATTATCCTCAAAAATCGATCGAAGAAGTCCTTCCAACAGAAGACGAAGTAGACGGTTCTGACATCGATCCTTTCGATACAAGTTTTGTAGCAAATACTGCACCTGGAAAAACAGAATTGAAAATTATTGAATCGGAACTTTTAGCTGAGGAATCTGTTATTGGAATTTCACATAGTGTCAGTGATCAAGATTTAGAGTCAAGAGATAAACCACTTCCGCAAAATCGTAGGCAAAGTGACTTTGGTACCGTGACAGGTCGACCTCAAATTATCAAAAGCTCTGAGGTTATAGAATCGCTTATAAATAAAAGAAAAGCACTTGACAAGAGGCAAGATAGTATTTTAGACACCGACGTTGAAGTTGCAGGTGAACCTTTAGCTCCAAACGTCAAACCGAGTACGATCGAAGAAGAAGTTGAACTCTCTTACAAAGATCCCTTTGACACATCTATTGCGGAGAATATTTTGCCAGGAAAAGCTGAATTGAAAATTCTTGAGAACGAATTGAGTCAGATTCCGGAACCAGAACCAGTTAAACCACATCCAGTTATCGAACTCGTCGCAAAGAAACTCTATTCTGTCGACGAAGATCCAGATTTCGATCCTAGAGCTGAAGAGAAAGATATATTGTGTCAGGATATCGGAGAAGCACCCGCTGATAAAATTCTCACACCAATCCAGGACTAAGTGAAAAAAAAACTGTGTGAATTGTTGAACTAAATTTCTCGTTAAAAATGGATTCCAAAGGAGGGAATCCATTTCTTATGGACGATTATTCCGCCGGAGCAGAAGCAGGACCACCTACATCAAATCCCTTCCTACAGGATTTTGGCGATCCTAATCCGGTTTCTACCAATACTGATGCCAATCCATTCTTAAGTTTTGTGGCTGATACATCGTATCAAGCTTCTGCTACTGACTATACAAATCCATTTGCTTCATTCGGTGCTCCTGAAGCAGCAGCTGTACCTGGACCCGAACAAAATATTTTTATCACACCCGAAGTGGCATCTGTACCACCTACGACAACGGTGAATATCTTCGAAGAATCATCAGTCCAGGTAAATTTGTCAATTCTAACCCGAACCCTATAGATGTTTTTATTAATAATTTTTTTATTATTATTCCATTAAACAATTAATTATAAAAATCAATGCAACTTATAACAGGTAACAAGTCCACCACAATCAATACATGATACGTCACCACCAAACAAACCATCACGTCCGCTACCACCACCGAGACCAGGCGCACCACCACCCCCGCCGCGCAACACAAAAGATCTGATCCTATCGGTGACGGGAGCTATGGACGAGACCTCGAATCAGATGCTGGATCGGTTGCAAGCAACACGAACGCCGAGTCCAACGCTGATGCACTCGCCGTCACCAACGCCGGAGCACAGCTTCGCCGACCTCCTCGACGTTGATGGCAGCGTGCCGGATCTCGTGCATGACGTTACATCCAAACAACAACCATCATCTGCCACACAAGATATGCTGGGTTTGTTCGATGCGCCGGCACCACCGTCAACTGATCAGCAACCTGTAGTCAATGCTAACTTTACAACTGGGTTAACGGAGACACAAGGCCAAGTGGAAATGACGGTGGCGTCGTCGACATCGGATGAGATACCAGCTACGGACGCGCCGCCCTTAACGTCGGTGTTGTCGGATAATCCGTTCTCCGATGTCGGACCGACGGAGGGTCATGTCGATCTTGGTCTCGTTCAAGATAAAAGGCCTTCCCTCACAAGTGGATCACCAGTTGCTGGTTTGTATGATTTTGTTGACTAGCCATTTTACCCACATCACTACTAGTTTAACTCTACGGAATATATATGAAACTTTTTTAAGTTATTAAAATTATTACTAAATAAAGGGTCTACTACAAATTAGGAAGCTAAAATTAATCACTAAATTTTATTTTTTAATGCTTAAAAAATCTTGATCATTAGCTATTTATATGCTTTTAAGTCACAATTACAACTAATTTATCCTTATTGAAATTTAGCAGAAGCCGTTGCAATGGAAATGCCAGAAGTAATACCTACAGCCGTAGTTGAGCCAACGGTACAAGAACAAGTTCCGTCATCTGGTTATTTCAACGATTTGTCAACAACAGACACCTTCCAAACGCCGGGTCCTCCGCCGAAACCACCAAAACCAGCACCACCACCACCTCCAACTCGTGGTGCTAATGCCAGCACCGGTGGTAGCGGCTTTGCTGACCTTTTTGGTGCTCCTGCACAAAATGTTGCACCGGTTAGCCCTATCACAGCTACTGAATTTCCTGTCGTTGGATACGGGTAAGAATGCACAAAGATATTTTTTGTTTGATCTTCAAATTATAAGTTGTTCAGAACGTCAAAAGTGCTATTTTGATCATTATTTATTAATATAAATTAAATTAAAGTAAATTAAAGTATTTGTATAATTTTTATATAAATTTGTATAATACAAATAGTGGATTTTCAGGGCAAATTAAAATGTAAATTACATTGGCGTTATTCGTATACGAGTAATTAAGATTATGAGCTTTTTAATTGCTTACGTAGTTGATGATGTAGTGAGATGAAAGTTACCCTAAGTATAAAAGTTCTGGTTTTAATTAAATAAAATAAGTTGAAATCCTTTTATATTTAGTGAGACTATAATTATAATACTTTAAGTTATTATATTTAAATTATTACATAAAAAAATTTTACATTTTCATTCATAGGGCAGAAAACTCGACTTTTGAAACAACAACACAATCCGCCGAGAACACAAGTGACGCCTTCGATGCATTCGCATCCAAATTCGATAAAGCAGCAGAGTCTACGAGTACTGGAGCTGATCCATTTTATGATCCATTCACTGGTGGATCGGCCGGTCATACAGCCATGGATACAAGTAGCGATGGTGATTTACTTCAATCTTTAGATTTTGTTGTAATAAATTTAATTATTACTTCTCGTTTGTGATTTTTAGTTTGGGGTGATTCATCGGCAGTGTCAAAATCAGGGCCAGTGTCTGGCTTCGACGATGAAGATGGCGCAGGTTTTGATTCGTTTCTCAGCATGACTGCACCACCACCAGACGTTACACCCAGGAGACATTCACGTGACTCCGACGAGGGTCCTGACTTCACTATCCACATCAAGTAAGAGTTCTGCTTTTTGCAATTTGAAATTTAACAATTGTCTGAAATTAATTTTTGTAAATTGTAGGCCAAAAGAAGGCGGCGATCAATATGGAATGGTCGAAGGAGGTCCAGTGCCTGTTTTAGCACCACCACCTAAGAGCCCGATGAATGCTGCCTATGCTGATAGCTCACCACGATTCAATCCTTTTGACAAAACTGGTTTCGCTGTTCAAGATGCTGCATTGCCAACCGAAGGTGCTCTACCATCGGAATTGACTAGAACAGATTCTCAAGTGAGTACTTTTTCTGTAAACATTTTTTCCATAACTACGTTAAACTGTGAAATAAAAAAAAATTATTTTTGAAGGAAACACCACCAACACCATTGTTCGACGAAGATTTAAGTCAACCGCTCGAGGATTTTCCACGCATCCATTACGATGGTGAAAGTTGGGAGATGCAGTTACGTATGCCAATCAAAAAGAAAATCACTGGACAACGTTTCTGGAAGAAGATCTTCGTAACCCTCGTTTATCAAGGCGACAATCCAATTTTACAAATCTTTAATAACAAGGGTGACAAGGATCCATTTCAAGAATTGCCGTTGCTGGCTTGCTACTCGGTCTCAGAAATTGCGGCCCAGCAGTATGACCAGTACGGCAAGATATTCACCGTGAAACTACAGTATATATTCTACAAAGAAAGACCAGGCGTTAGACCTGGTCAAGTCACTAAAGCTGGTAGAATTACCGATAAACTCAGTCAGTTCGCTGCTTATGCTATTCAAGGAGATTATCAAGGTGTTAAGGAGTTTGGTAGTGATTTGAAGAAACTTGGATTGCCTGTTGAACATGCTCCTCAGGTATGGTTTCGATGTTCATTAGCTATTTATTATTTCTCTCTGTTCTCACGCGTTTTCAAGTTCAGCAAAGATTTAAACCTTTGTATTTGAAGATGAGCGGCATTTTTTTTCTTTTTCGCTACACAATTATTTTTGAATATTGCATGTAGAATTTTCGAATAAAAATGATTGTGGTAATAAGATTGTTAAAGACAAAAATGATTTTATGCTTTCTTCAAATTGCTTGGATTCGTTACCAAAAAATTTTTTTGAAAGTTGATTGATTTAATTTTTTTTTATGGTAACGTCCTCAAGTATTTATCTTTATGGATGTTTCTGATATGACTTCGAAGAGACTCTCTTACGTGGACAATGTTCCATGCAAAAAAGCCTCCTGGTCGTCATATTGGCCAAACAATTCCATTGAATTCATGGCTTTAATCTTGTTTAACTTGACAAACGTTTATTATATGTGTAATCCACACTTTTATCCTCTCTCTCAAGTGACTAACATTATTGATACGCAGTCAGCGATATATTACTTTCATTTTCTAGCTTGAAAGTAAGTAAACTGAGATTGAAAAAAAAGATCAAAATCATCATGTCGTGCTCAAAGCTTAGTCTTTTTCTTTAATTTTTTCCTTCATAGATTTTGAATTTGGCTAGCAAAGCTTAGTCCATAAAACTTTTTGTTTGATTGTTCAAAATAATTTCACAACAGAATGAATCATTAAACTTGCACAATGTGTTTTGATTACACATCATCATCGTCGTGTGCAAGATGCTTAAAGCATTCACTCAGTTAATGAAAAAGCAATAATATTATACATTTTCAATATATTCATTGCTTTCTTATCGATAATCTATTCATTCATTTTAGCATTCACTCTTAATTAAATAAAAAAAATGTCACTATCTACACGCCTTTCTTCGCAGATGTCACAGTTGTTTAAACTGGGGTCCATGAGTTATGAGGATCTCAAACAATTCTCAGTAACGATCGAGGAAGCCTTGTTCCGATTGAACGTCCATCGTGATCGAGCTTTAACGTACAAAATGGAAGAAGTTCAAATTAGCGTCGTCGACGAAATTTATGTCGAACAGAACTGGGAAGGACATGTAGAGAAACAAATCGCGAGAGTTAGATTGTTCTTCCTTGGATTTTTGTCTGGTAAATTGTTGTTTTAAAAGAATAAGCTAAATCTAACAACATAATTATTAAACCATTGGATTTCAGGTATGCCTGACGTGGAATTAGGAGTAAATGATATCCGAAGACAGGGAAAAGAAGTTGTCGGCAGGCACGACATCATTCCCGTAGCAACCGAAGAGTGGATTAGACTTGAGAATGTTGAATTTCATTCGTGCATACAACAGGATGAGTTTGAGAAAACGAAAATTATTAAGTATGTTTAATTAATACATATATAGTCTAACTTCTGTTAATAATACTAACGGGTTCTTTTACTAAAAAAACAAAGATTTAAACCACCGGATGCATGTTACATCGAGTTGTTGAGGTTCCGTGTGAGGCCACCAAAAAATCGTGAATTGCCGTTACAACTGAAAGCTGTTATGTGTGTCACTGGTAACAAGGTAACTAATAAAATCACCGATTCATTCAATATTCCAAGCTCACTAAATAATAACTTTATCAATTAGATTCCAACCAAAATTCTAATTTATTTTTGTAATACAATGACGTACAGGTCGAACTGCGTGCCGACATTCTCGTGCCAGGCTTTGCATCTCGCAAACTCGGTCGAGTCCCATGCGAAGACGTAATGGTTCGATTTCCTATACCTGAATGTTGGATCTACTTATTCCGTGTTGAGAAACATTTTAGATATGGTTCGGTCAAATCGGCACATAGGCGCACCGGTAAAGTTAAAGGCATTGAACGTATTCTTGGTGCTATGGAAACGTTAGATTCGCAACTTATGGAGACAACTTCTGGACAAGCCAAGTATGAACATCAACATAGAGCTATTGTTTGGAGAATGCCAAGGTTACCTAAGGAAGGACAGGGTAAGTCTTTGTTAAATAATTAAGTAGATTTTTATTGAATTTTGAATTAAATCTTGAAGAAATCTTTTATACAATACAATTACATTAACAATTTTTTTAATGATATAGAATTTTGACAACTGTTTAAGCTAAACAGGGACATTTATCGTATAGAACACAAAGTCCACAGTTGTATAGTAGGTTCCCTATTTAGGTCATCGAATAAAGATTCGCGCGTGCGTTCATTGCATAGATTTCCTATAATGAGTTAGCGATAAGCAGACGGCAATGAGATGCTCAGATAGAATTTTCAAGTTGCGAGCGAATATTGATCAATAACAACAGAGGCGAGCTTGTTTTACTGATTGTCCTACTTTTTTCTTTGTGCTCTGAAACTTTCAATTTAATTTCCCTTGTAAGCTCAGGGTGTGGTTAGCTTGTTAATTATAGTGACGGGTACTATCATTCGTCATAATTTTCATTCATTTTTTTGCTATTTAATTTCCATTACTCATATGACGCTTCGAAAACCGCGATTTATCACAAAATACAATCTCGCATAACATATACCCTAACTTTTCTAAAAAAAGAAACTTGATAAAAAAACTTGGTGTATCTCCAGGCGCTTACACAACTCACCAGCTGGTTTGTCGTATGAACCTGACCTCGTACGACCAGATTCCGGAGAAGCTTGCCGAGTATTGCTATGTTGAGTTTACAATGCCGGCAACGCAAGTCTCACACACGACTGCACGCAGTGTCAGCTTCCAGAATTACGACGGTGATGAGCCGCCTGAGAAATATGTGAGAAATCTATCGCGTCACGAGTACAGGTAAACCTCTTTCTTCCTGCGATTATCTTCAAAAGGATTGCACCTTTTTTTGTAATTGTGTGAGCTTATTCGGAAACTAGCAATTGAATTGACGAACGAAAAACAACGATGTGTGTATGTGTGCGTGTGTGTGTTCATATGAAAATAGTCATTAGGCTCTTAATCAGAAATGCAATATCTTAAATAAAATTACGATAAAAGCAATACTTATGATTTATGGTACCCGTGAGAGTAATTTATAATCTCATGTGATGCATTTTCTATCACAAATAATTATGAGCAGTTGTAAATACTCACACAAAACTGAATCTCCATAATCTTCACTAATGCATTCGATATTTTTACGTTTTTCATAATATTTTTACCTAAAAGTGATTCGTGACTTTCGTAAAGAAATAACATGTGAGTGCAACACAATTTAAAAATCTTGAATATGAAAATTAAAAAATCTTAGTAAAATTGTTTTTTAATATCGTTACGCATTGTCACATAGTTATATAATTTTTTTTCTTTCTAATGGTTAAACATAAGTTCAAATAACATATCACATATAAAAAAATTGAAATATTAAAATTATAAATATTTTATTTTTCTATAAATTTTACAAAGGTGTAAAGAAAAATTATGAATCAGTCCTGATTTTTTAAGTGAAAAACAACATTGAATGCGTAAAATGTTTATGAAATGGTAAAGGTGATTTTTTTATATATTTAAAAGTTTTGAAAAATCGTAAAATTTTTCATGATACTCTTAAAGAAGTAAACCCTCACGGTTGATAGATTATGAAATATTTTCGTCTTTCATGTATAGTTACAAATATAGAAATATATAATATAAGTATAAATATTTAAAAAAATTAATCAGCTATAGTCTATGCAAATATCGTTTTTTATATTCAATATTAATAAAATACATCTTTAATTCAACCAACTTTCCACTATTAAAATGAATAAAACACAAGAAACACACACACATACACACAACATTTTCTTATTCAACTGTAAAGATTTTCGCGACAATTGAGACGTAAATCCATAAATGCCATTAAAAAAAGCATCCACTTCCGACGCTCATTAATTGTAGAAACGATGGCCTCAAGCGCAACTATGCATAAATTTCAAAGTAAACGCTTGTAAAGTGCAACGCAACCAAAGCGAAGAAAAAATATTATGTATAGATGGCATACTTGTGAAAGTTTTTAGACTTTCGAGAAACCTTTGACTGATTTAACGTGTCTGGCTTTTGCGCAATAAAATCTGTGCATGCGCATCATGATTAGCTAACGTGATAGAGTACGAAAAAACTTTATAATACATATCTACACGCTTAAATTTTGAGTTGAAGGTCTTGAAAACAATATAAATTGGTGATTCGAATGCAAAGCTCGCTATGTGTAATAAATTCTTTGATGCAATCATTGTGCTGCGTGACAACTAATAATAATCAGAGTGATTAATTGTTTCTTCGTAGAGTTGGAATCGAGCATACGGTAGGGGAAGGTCCAGGTGCATATGTAGCAGCAACGTCGATATCGACGCCAAAGAAAACGGCAACGATACCAGAATCAGGCGGTGAGTCGCACGACGAATCGACCGAACACGCGGCATCCGACTCAGACTCGTCCGATTAAATATCATCACTTGAAGATTCCGCAAGTATATGTTAATAAAGTTGTCTACTTGGAAGATCGAGCATGTTTTCAATTTCGGGGAAAGTTTGATTTGTTGGCAAGAACGTTTGGTAAACAAGATTTTTTCTCTTTTTCCATATAAGTATAAATACAGTATGTGTTATTGTCACAAAGGAAAAAAAAACCTAAAATAAAACAAAACAACGTTAGTGTTGTATGAATAACATTCAAATTCTCCAATGATGAAGAGAACAGCCAAGTCAATTGAAGAAGAAACTCAGTTTTCCTCCTCAATCACGCCTTCTTTCGTCAAATTGAACTTTCTTCGATGTAATTGGTTCATCATTCACGCAGACAACGAAAGCATCCATGACAACAAATCGTTCGTTATATTGTAGTGAATTTCCGCTTTGACAAAAATCTTATGTAGCGGTAAAATAAATTTTGTTTTTCTCGTCGCTGTAGTTATATACAATGAGGTGCATTCGTTGTTCATTCCTCAGTTTTAGAAGAAGCTATAATCCCCTCCCCTTGAGCTGTGAATTGACAACGACGCGAGAGTCAGAAACAAAAAAGTAGTTACTTATATACATTCCAAGGGATATAAGCGATTGTACGTGCCTCGTTGATTCGCAAGGACAATACAAACGGAACACATACATACAGATACACATAGATTTTTCGTTTCTGCGTTCGTTCTGCAATTATTGTTGCACCTGATGAGACTGTCTCGATTTTCGAACTCACGCGCATTCCTATATAAACGTATATATCTCGCTTAGAGTTCCTCTAAATAGCCCACCGAATAGAGAATCATCAATCATCGAACTTGCCTTTGACGTTTTAAAATTTACCCGAGAAACAATGTATATTATAAATGAATTTAACAAACAAAGTCTACTGTGTAGCCTCATGTTGTTGTTGTTTCAATATATATAAATAACTCTATATATATATATATATATATATATATATATATATATATATATAGAGAGATCACGCTTGCCATAGTGTTATAACATTCCTGAAAAAAAATGAACAAAAAAAAAATAACAAGTAAAAGTTGTTGTTGAGTCGTACTTGTATTCTTGTCTTGAAGTATGTTGCGAGAGTGCCACGTATGTTTTTAATTTTTGTTTGCGGTGCCTAGGTGTCTTGTGTGAGAATCCCCCGATATAAAAGAAATTATAATCTTTTTAGCATTTAAGGAGTGGACGTAACTTTCACCTATCTTATAATAATCGAAAGAGCCTAAATCATTTTGTTGACAAAAAAACGATAATATCTAACCCTAAGCAATATTTTTCATACATGATGACCGATTGAAACCTTTCGAAAATTAAACTTAAAATTAGTTTATTTAAGCTCTTTCTTTCGATCTGTGTATCATTAGATTCGAGCGAAAGTAATCAATTTAGTCGTATGAGCTTCTTTTCTTTTAATAATTATTTTTGTTTTTCCCAATTATTCTCGCGTCAGATGCGCTGAGTACGACGCTAAATACACAGCTAAACCAAATACTAGTCATTTAAGCAGATCGTTAGCCAAGTAAGTTAAAATATACGACGCGACAGCAGCGTCGCACCTCAACAGTACTTAAAACAAATAAATAAAATAATGCGCTTCTAGATATCCCCCTCCTCTCCCCCTTTCACATATCTCAATGCGTTGCATATATGTGTAAAAATTGTAGTTGTTTAAGGATGATAATCATGTAAGTTTCATTTATGAAGTTAGTTTGATTTTGACGTTTTTCGTCTCGTTCCTGAACAACAAAAAGGGAAGAGAAAGAAGAGTAAGCTTCTAGTCACATTTATCGCGAATATCGATGAACCTCGTCGTATAACGCGAATAAAGTCCTTAGCTCGTAAGAATATAGATTGTAAGGTAGAGTTAATAGACTTTTTTTTATTCACCAGTTGATTTTTGTTTTTTTTTACAAGGCATCTTTGTTATCGTTTTGAAAGATTTTTTTATTTGTTCTTTTATATTCATTGCTTTTGCAGATTCTGTGTGCCATAGAACCAAGCGATTTGTTTAAATAAAAGTATTTTTAGTGAGTAATATAGATTCTTATCGAACATAATTGTGATAATTAGATAAGCATAAATTCAGTTGAACTTCAATTGTTGCAATAATTAAGTAAGTAAGATTATTAATTGTGCATTTATTTTGCAGTGCATACAAGTGGTCATAAATTGTAATTCCAAAACTTAGGAATTTGATTCGTTCCGTCTTCTAGATAATATTAGACGTTATAAATTTTCAGACGAATAACGGAACATTTTTTCTTTAGGCCAGAAAAACGTAACGCGTATAAAATATATATTTAGATTCATAATAACACATATAAAATTAGAAATACATAGTGAAACCTAGTCCTCCGTCGTAGCCAAAACATGTAACACGTGCATAATCCTCGGCCATATACATCGTTATACATGTAAAAAGAAGTAACACGTTAGTTTTGTTTTCACATGAAAACACTTGAAATCGGGTCAGTCTTGTAGCTTCAAGCAATACAGAGACTTTATTTTGCTACGTGATTTACGGGATTGTTGAAAATGTTGAAAAACGAAGAAAATAAATCTGCCTCTGGAATATTTTTATATGTGAATGACGAAAAAACAAATATGAAAAACTCAGCCTTATTATGTTTTTGTAATATCGTTTTTTGCTTTGTTCTTGGATTCTCTACTTATTTTGTTCAAAAAATAATATATGCAACAATAAAAACCTTAAGAAGTATTATCAATTTTTTAAAACAATGTTTATTGATAAGCTGTGAAGTTGTTTTTTTGTACAAATTACTTTTATTCGAAAATGATGCAAAGTAAGATGTAATAATGAAAAGCTCTATGAAAGGAGTTTTTTAACGAAAACTTGCGAATATAAAAAATGCGAGTATTCAGCTTGTGATCTCAGTACCGTAATCGTGCACATGTAATTGCAAAATGAACATACAAATAATAAAAAGATATGTCTCATCTGTGGACAAATGGTAATGGATAATAATTAAATATATACTAATCATATTAATAAGGCGCGTCGAGAAAGACAAAAAAAAATGTATGACCACCACAATAGTAATAAAAATTCATAAGTTGAACCTATATCCACTAAAAAATGTAAGTCTAATTTACATAAATTGTATGAAATTATAGTGGAATTACCCAAAGTAACTTTAGGGTAAAATAAAATTGCGACGTGTTTTGATGATAGTTTCCGAACAAAAAGAGTGAAAGCATCCGGTCGATCAGAAAACTCTTTGAGCATAGCAAAAAAATGCAAAACTTATACGATATATACATAATGTAAATTACATTAGATTTTAAGAATAAATCCTCACTTGTGACTTAACGTTACACAATTGACAACAGCAATGAAAGTAACGGCAGATGCTTAAAATTATTACACGCAAATAACTAAACAGATAAAAGCATACATACACATATACACACCAAAGAATAAGACATTGATAATGTTATCGTATATTAATCAATGAGAGCCAACGGTGGAGTTCTGTAAAGTGTTACCGAACAATTTTAAGAACGCGTATAATATAAAATCTCTTTTCTGGTGAGAGTATAACGAGACGCAGCATGTCCCTCTTCATCCTCCTCCGCATTATAAGTCGTGTGACGAAAGAATGTGCAGCTATGTGCATGTCACGGGAAGATCATAAGTTAAAGAAACATCTGTTACGACAAATTGCACTATAATTAGATGAATCCAATAAACAATTGTAACAAATCTGAAGTTAAATTGCAGAATTAAGATATATATAAATAAAGTTTCATGATGTACCTAAACAAACTTATAATCAAATCTTGTCTGTTCAAAAATAACGTTGACGAAGGAGAAAATTTTTTTTTTTTTCAATGTACAACGGTTTGGTTGTTTGTGGGTGTGTATATACTACGGCGTAGTTAGAACACAAGAAATGCTACTTTGATAAACAAAAATAAAATATATATAAACATATATATACCCTGGGCGCTGCGCTTCGGCTAATTTTCTTTCATTTCTTTTTTTTTTTTTAGTTGCCAATGAAAAACCTCGATTCTATAATACTGTTGTGTTGTCTGGTCGTATATATTCTACATAATGTACTGAGGTTCGTTTTTATTCGAGAAAACGACCAAGTTTATGAATATATCAATGCATTGGCACACATTCTAGGACAAGAAAGTACCACCACAAGAAAAATCCTTTATATATACCTATACATATTCAATTAACAACATGTAAACTAATAATGAGTATCAATTTCACTAACTATAAAGTTTCAATAAGTAACAAAAAATGATTCAAGCGACACGCATACAATCTATAAGAATGAAATATTCGCAAAAAGTTATAAATATCTTGTGTACGGTGAAAATGGAGGTCGCAACCTCATCAAGTTGTATATCGATTTAACGGTGTGTAATGTATATCATGTTTGCTCGACGTACACATTAGTTAAAAAAAAATAATTCCAAAAGTTAAGATTAATTATTATTCAAAAAGTTATATAAAAATGAAGCCTGTACATGTATCATGGAAACCCTAGCTCTATATACTCCATTTTTGTTTTTTTCTGTGCGTAATGATGATGACAGAGAGAAAGAATGTAACGATGTAGAGTTGATGATGACAATGTATTCTTGTGTATGTATCATATGGCAAAAAGAATTATATGCATAACGGTTTAGCGAGTATTATGCAAAATAAAAAAAATACCAAGGAAACAAAGAGATAAAATAAATAACAAAAGCAGGAGCAGCGAATGATGAACCACTGTTAGCTGAAGAAAACCATCGATAAATTCTATGTATCGATAAATAATATAAAATTGTTTAAGTGATAATGAGTTTTCATTTTGTGCCCTGATAATAAATTTATTGTCTTGCGATCGATTTCAGTTTCGTCCTTCGATATACATAACGACAGATTATTCTGATTCAACTTCTATTCAGCAACTTTTCTTCGAACTGCAAAAAATGTTGATGAATAATAAAAGAATAGCGATGGAATATTTACATCAGTCCAGGCTTTCAAAATTATAAACCACTTTATAACCTCGAGCTCTTGACAACAATCGAAAAATTTCTCATTGATCCTTCAACAACCTACCAAAAAAAAATCTACCAAACAAAGATCTACGAAACACCATCGGTCGTCGATTCTTCCGTAAGTACATTTTACTACATTTACTCATCGTCAGCTGCAATCGCGCTCGAACCAAGTCTTATCAAGTTCAAGCCCGTAAAGAGCGTCGACGAAGGAGAGTCTCATTAGCTTTTATTTGACCTTCCGCTCCCTCGAAACGCACACTTCCCCATCATCGGCGGTCTTACCTTGAACGTGCGCGCGCGCCGACAATTTGATTATTTTTGCCGCGTGATTGGCGAGTCTACGCTTGCCTAGGCTAGCTCCTATTGCAAACGCAATCGTGTACGAATACTTTCATCCTGAACCACGCATCTCTCTCTCTCTCTTTCTATCTCGCTTGGCCACAATAACTCAACATTAATTCGCCACGAGTGAGAAGGAGAGTGGCGCGAGCATGGTATTGTATTCAAATGTCATGGCTACGCGTGCTTGCGATCGAGTGAGAAGAAACCAGCGCGCGATGTACCTTATAAACGTCAAAACCCACTTCCCATCGCATTGTCATCGACGCACGCACTCGTCTATCAATGTCACGCAATGAACCGTACGATTCGCGCGCGCCCCTTTTCATAAACATTTTCCGTCATTTTTTGCACACGCGAGCTTTCATCGCGACGGGCTTATCTAGGCCGCGCGCGTTGCATTTCTTAAATTGAGCTTTCAGAGGCACTAGCCGTGTACAGGGTGCACTGACTTGCGAGCCAAGCGCGGTCGATAAGCACCTACATCCAACGTGAACAACATTACGTGTCGAGCCACGTTTCCTCTATCGAAAAAGCTGCTACGCGCGCGCGCCAATTGAATTTTTCACACAAGTCCGAGCGGTGAATCAACGCGGGACGGAACTAGGAAACTGCGGTAACACACATCTGCAAGGTGTGCAATCGTACTTGACGATCGTCGATCCAATCGAGATAAGAGACAGATTTGTTTGTTCTCCCGGCTCGCTAACTCCACTTTGTTGTCGAATGCTAAATACCTGCTTTGTTATTCATTTGACCTTTTCCCCGATCAAGCGTGCGTGAGTATTTCAAGTTTGACAATTAAACAGTACTTTAAAGCCTTTGTTTCGTGAATTAAATTACATCAGTTGAATTTACAATCGAAAAACCAACGATGTCTCTCTCAAGCGAACGACTTGAGTCGAATGATCACGGTGTAAAATATATCACGGCGACTTTCCGCAAACCCAACTAATTGTAAGTGGAAATTCAGCATTACACGAAACAGTTACCATAATTAAAGCTGTCACTCGCACAAGAAACCCTAACGTGATAAATTAATCGTTCACCTTTTCTTTACGACTCCGACTTTGTAGTAGATCTTGACAACGATCTTGACATCTCGCCAATTTGTATGCACGAATAATAATTTTACGAGCCTCCTCTCTCCCTCTTGCAAAGCTCCTCGACGAGGAGAAAAACGCAAGTAGCGCGAAACTCGAACGCGTTCAAATGCCCCCAAACGGCAAAATCCCTTTTTAAAAAAAAAAGCGTTAACAAAAGAAGCAAAACAAAGGTGTCGACCAAGCATAACGCGCGCGCGTAAGAGAGAGAGGCAGTCGGTCGATCGACAGCCGCAGCAGTGTCCTTCTCTTTCTCCCGTTCCCCCTACCAGGCACCTTCCTCCTATATTTCGCGTCGAGGTGCAGCGTAGCAGTCAGCGTGCAGCAGGCAGCGCCGCGCTCAGCTGTTTGCTGTTTACTAGCGTCAAACAAAGGCACTCAGTCGAGTGCTGGACGCCGCAGTGCGCGCTTTTGCTCGCGTTCGCTCGAGAAATTACCTAATTTCCCCTTTCCCTCGTCGTGTCATCGATGTGCGCTGAATAGTGAACACGAGTGCGACTGTACAAGTGGCATAGTGGCATTTCTTTTTTTTTTCTTTTGGTTGTCGTCCAGTGTGTTCCACCGTATACAGGCAGAGGCCTTTGCTGCGCAACAGCCAACACAGTGAGTAGCTTTTCTGCGCCGTTCTCTTTGTATATATGTGTGCAGAGGGAAAAACTGGTTATTCGTCTATTTTTTTTCTGTCGCTGTCGCTTATCTCGCGTGAGCACGCGTGATAATCAGCGAAGCAAATTTTCAATTCGTTTTGCGTCGAAATGAAACGGTCCGCCTGAGGCAGTATGTTTGGACTCGGGTACGGTGCAACTTATCGATTGGCACTGTACCGCGCAAAGGCGCTTTTCTTCTAGTGCTTTTCCCGACAAGAAAACACCGATTGGTCGTGGCGAATTTGCAGTTGGAAAAATTAGGGACCTCAACAAAAATAATTTTGTCGAGGAAACTTGGACGAACGTAATGAAAAGTCATTAAAAGACGATTGACATAGATCGCAGGGAGGAAGTTGATAATGGCACACGCACGCAAGCAAGTCAAGTTCAAGATAATTTAATAACAAGCAGTGGCGTGGGAAAAAGCGCAGACGTAACGGTGTCGCGAGATAAGTTTTGCAAAACCTCGCTCGATACATTGTTGTGTGCTTTTTCACGCTGACATTTGCACAAGAAGCGTTGCGCAAAGTTGCACGTATAGTCTTGTCCACACCCTGTCTTTCTCTCGATTCTTTTCCGCGGAGAGACAAATATATAGGGCTATACGCGCGCAAGCTTTCAAGAGAGGCCCTGACCTCATTCACCTCGCGTTGCCAGCGCCGTGCGCATCCCATTTTATTATACACCTACCCGGCAAAACAGATAACTACCACCGGAAAGCTTATTTCAGTGGTGATGGGTTTAGATTATACTTTTTTTTTTAAGGCTGACCTGCGTGATGGGCTTCATTTTTGTGTGGAGCGAACGTGTAATGGATAATTCGTTTGAAATTATATCTTAGATAGCGAAGTAACGATATACTATTAGAACTTGATTTGTTTTATACAAAACTATAACATCAATCTTTCGAAAATATATTTTTCAAGTGATGAAAGTACATCACGAGAAACACTTTGAAATACATCTTGCGTCTGTGAATCATCATCGTGCGAAAACTATGGAAGTAATTCAAACCGTCAATTTAACATGTTGAACAGTGCAGCTCATAGATATACATTGCACTTGCGGAAGCAGTCGACTGATCAATTGGCAAGTAACTACGATTTTACGTAACGAGCAATGTCCGAGCGACGAAAGTCGCGTACATCTATTTTCGCGCGCTCCGTTTTTAAAAACACGGAGCTTTTCCTTCAAGGTTACAAGCAAATGTCTGACCGACAAAATTTTTTTTTTCCTTACGTCATGCTTGTCATCGTTTTAGATACACGTGCTCGTCTTTCCGATCAAACATTGATTCCGACTCCTATTTATTTGTTTGATGTCAAACATTGCTTCAAGGCTGCTGCTGGTTGTCAAATAATTGCGCGTAACGATGTTCTCTATTTTTAGTTCTTTTGCTATTTAGTTTTGAAATTTTCTTCCTTGTAATCGCGTGTATTTTAAAATTGAAACGATGTCTAAGGTAGTTTATTGATAGCTCGATATCAATTATACATTTTTGTTACCCAATGTTACTCTTTCGCAACGAAAACACCATAATTAATACCAGCCGAAAAGTATGTTCGTCGACCGTCACTTTCAGCACGATCAATCAGTTTTATCATACGAAAAAATACATACACACGTGATATACATTAATTGCCATCACGTGTAAGCTTATATCTCTTGTTGTTTGGGTTCGTTAAACTCAGACGGTGTGTTAGTTTTTTTCTTCGTTTGAATTTACAAGACTTTCCAAAGGATACTCATACATACAGGTGGCATTGGCCCTACCTTTGCATACTCCACCGTCTCTTTTTGCTTCTTTTTTCTTTTCGCTCGAGGTCATTTTCTTTTTCGTATCATGGTTGTCTTATTGTACGATATCGAGTGGTTTTAATGTTATTATATCGGACAATTTCATATACTCTAAATTTAATTTATTTGAACTTACGTTATTTGCATATAATTATATTTCATTTATATTGCTTACCGACATTCATTTATAATCCACTCATTGTATTCAATCTAAGTAATTCTACGAAAGGCAGTGCCTCGCAGAGTCGTTGAGATGGTGTCGATTTATCTCTTTGTGCCCTACAGTCCACTCTACTAGTTTACGCGTTTCTCGTGGTCTCCTCATGGTTAAAATGTGTTACCCCGACGGCGCATAAGCCACACAACTGAGCCACGATCACGTTATCGTGACTATCGCCTATGTTTTGGTTCGACACTCGTCTCATTTTTCCGCTTTTCTTTTTTTTATTGCTTTTAAGATGAAGAGTGACGAAAGTGGCAAGAGTCGGCGGTCAGTTTGCTGAGAGCCTTCGACGAGCTTGTACGCTCTCAGTTGTATCCTCCGTCAATTCATGAAATTAAACCTGATCATTCTGTCTTTAAATTCATCAAATTTTCCTATCAAATCACCTTTTGTACTGAATTAATTTTCATACGAAAAGCACAGACACTGTGCCAAAGAAACACTTATCGTGCGCACATATATCACAATAATTTGAAGAGATGATTTACGTTGTGAGAAATAGAATAAAATGCGTATGACAACAAAATTTATAATGTCTACGAAAACTTTCCAAGGTTAAACATTATTTAACGCTTCGTTTATTTAGCGGAAACGACAAATTCGTTTTTTTTGGTTTTCACTGGATTATTGATAAGAAATTGCGCTGTTGTCGAACTGATAGCAAACAATTGTTGAA